GTGCCCATCCATGGAGATGCCCAAGGCCATGGATGGACCTGAGCTGGGGGTTAGGGGTGGGGCTGGGGGCTGTGAGGGCCCTTCAACCCAACCATGCTGTGATTCTGTAATGATAATAAACCCATTTAACAGAGGTTGGAGCCTTGACAAGATTAAAGTCTGGGTGCCATGGATGTGGATGCTTGTATGTGTGCGTTCACCCCTATCCGTGCAAGATGGATTGGGAACAGAGGAGAAAGAAAATAGGTGAATTAAAAAATAAGGAAGAGGGTTCGAAGCAGAAGAAAAATGACACAGACAATGAATGCTTGAAAAAGGAGGAACTTGGCACGTGTGCTTGTGGGCAACTGCAAAGAGGACAACCCCTGATCCCAAAGCAGAACGCAGGGAAAGCATGTCTGTGTGTAGCAGGGATGGGTGAAGATGGCAAACAAAATGGAGATCTGGAGACGACTGCAGGTCATTGTCTCTGCAGAAGGTTGCAGAATATTTGCTTTAATTGCCCCTTATGTCAGTGATTAAAAGAAACATCTGCCAAGCCCCTGTATCTTGATGGAGTGATGAATGGAAGGGCTGGTGCTGCAGAGGGCCCTGATTCCTGTTGTTTCAGGGCAGGATGGAGAGGCTGTGGTTGCCCCCATCCCTGGAGGTACCCAAGGTCAGGCTGGATGGGGCCCTGGGCAGCCTGAGCTGGTGCTGGATGTGGTGGTTGGCAACTAGATGATCGTTGAGGACCTTTCTAACCCAAGCCATTCTATGGTTTTATGGTACTCTGTCACTCAGACCTGTGCAGAAGGTCCCATTTACTGGCACCCCTCCTTGCAGTTAGCTGTGCTGTGTGAACACCCAGTCCTGGCATTCATCTACAGACCAGTCCATGCAAACTTCACTGCTGCAGAAAAAAATTTGTGCTTATTGTGCTATTTATGAACCAAGTTCTTCTCCCTTTTGTCTGCGTATCATAATGGGTACAGCCTCTTTTTGTGTTTTTATAGTTTAAGGTCAAACTTTGCTTTACAGCCTCCTTGGGAGCAGGGCGCGTTTAGGTGAGATCATAGAATTGTTTGAGTTGGAAGGGGCCTTGAAGGCCATCTGGTCCCATTCCCTGCAGTGCACAGGGACACCCACAGCTCCATCGGGTGCTGGGCCTCTTTGCTTACGTTCCACTCTTCCATGCCTTTACGTAGGACCACTCCAGAAACAGCAGTTAATTCTCCCAGCCTCAGTTTTTCTGCGAAATGGAGATGCTATAAATTTATATTATAAAGAAGCCGTGGCTATTTTATTGTTGCAATATATTTAAGCAAATCACAGTGCGTCTATCCGGTTCTATTTTGCATGATGATGTTTAGATGCTTTTTCCTGTATGTGCTCTGCTTTTGATTGGAAAGACCCAGATTGTTTTCCTTTCTCTTCCCCCAGAATTCATGCTGGCCAGAGCAGTGCCCAAAGCTCTAAAGCCATGGCACTGGTTAGGATAAAACTCAGCAATTATAACACCAACCTATACATGCTATAGAGTGCATTTATTTACGGTTGGGGATTTGCTTCCAGGATTGTTTTACTGCAGCAGGAATGGAAATGCTCTTCAGTGCTGTTCATCCTCACTCGAAGGGCGGTGCATGGAGATTCAGTTCTCAGGCTGCAGGGTGAGATGCTCCGAGTGGTTCTGCCTGATGTTTCCAGGGGTCATTTTTGGTGCTTTTTGTGTACAGTTGAGTGCATTGATCCTACTGCGGGCACATCCAGAAGGACAGCAAAGCTGCTCTGTCAGTGAAGTGGTATCTGCAGGTTGGGAGGCTCTTTGGAGAATGAAGCTCAAGCTGTGACCTTCAGAAGTTCCAGCAGCAGTGGCACAGTGCTGCTCCAGTGGGCAGGAATGGTGTGGCCTTGGGCTTTATGTGGAAGGAGGAGGCTGTTCATGTTCAATCAGCTTCTGCTGGAGCAGCTCTGTTGGCTTTCCCTAATGAGCCAGTGTTGATTCTGAAGAGCCTGACTTGCTCCCTTGGATGCTGAGGTAACTTCAATCTGAGATTGCATACAGCTCAGGCTGGACGTGTTGGGCAGTGAGCAGCTCCAGGACAGCGTGTTTAAGGAGCCATAATTTTATTTGCTGTTCTCACATGCGTCCATTTTACTCCTATCTGACAGGTTTTTGAAAGGTACTGAGCAGTTGTAATTCACAACAAGGGCTCTGGTAGGTGCGGGTACCAATTCCCATTGCAAAGCAGGCTGTGAATAACTGAGCTCTGAGTTTTGCCCTCCCTCTTCTGTCTTGCCCACCCAGAAAGGTTGTGTGTCACTGCTGCAGAATTTACAGCCTTCATCATGAGGACCTTTGATGCGAGCAGGCTGACTGGGAGAACAGTTCTGGTGCATGGGAAGGCTGACTCCCCACATAAGCACTGATGCATTTCCCTTAATGAGAAAAAGTTGGACTTGAAGCTGGCCAGACATCTCCAGAAGATGTTCCTGCTTTCCTTCTTACTGAGCCTGTGCTTGCACTCCAGTCTGCGTGGAGCAGGTGAGCAGTAGTGGTGCATCTCTTGGAGCAGTGTGTTAGGAGCAGTGGTTGTTCCTCTGCTGGAACTTTGTACCTAGCCTAGGGTGAGCACCTGAATCTGCTTTTCCATTTCTTCCCTCCCTCTCCCCGAGGAGACAATATAAATGCCAGGCCTTGAGTGTGCATGTATTGAGGGGAAGAAGGGATTTTTAAATAGCAGTGAACTGGTTTTCCCTCGCTGCAGCAAGCCAATTTGTCATTAGTGAAATGTATTAATAATTAATAATAAAGTTCTTACGAACTTTTTTTGGTATGTGAAGCAACTTTAATTCCTTTGCATCAACAAGAGCTGCAGGTATGTCTTCACAACATTAAAAAAATAAAAAGAAGGAAGAAAGCAATGCTTGCAAATTGGTCTTTGTTTCCAAGGAAACAAACTTGACATGCTTGAGCTGTGCGAGATGCAAACACCGCTAGGTTCAGCAGACATGCCTCAGGATGATACGGGCTGAATATTATTTTTAAACCACCTCCAATTTGGAGGCATGGGAGAGGATGAGAATAGAATCTGTTGGCAGGGTTTGCCAGTCGGCGCTGAGCGAAGGCACCGCGCGGTGCCCCGGTGCTGCCTGAAGTGGTGAGGAGCAGATCGCGTCCTGCTCTGCAAATGGGTGTCCCTACGAGCATCCCCAGAGAGGGGGCACTTTGGGGTAAATGCTCTGAGGATGTGCTGCAGCAGAAGTCGAGGTCGGGGGGCAGAGAAGCGCTGTGTTCCAAATGGCCGTGGTTTATTGCCACGCTGTGCCAGACGCCTTGTGCTCTAACAGTGTTGTTGTACAACGCAACTTGCTTGGCACGAAGGGCTGCCTTGCATCCAGAAGTCAGATGTGAACGCCAACACTTTGCTATCACAAATGATTTGCTGAAAAGCTTGAGGTCGGTGTTCAGATTGAATGTAGTGGAGGAGAGAGATCTCTCAAGTAGGAGAGCGAAAAGCAGGGCTGTTTGCGTGGTGCATCTGACACAAGTGTGCTGTGTGCTGATGAAAATCACACGTTTAGCGTGGCTTATTGCGTTGCTCGGTATTTTTGTCATTACCCTGGAAGCTTGGTGCAGGCAAAGAGCTCATTTTTGGCATTCCCTTATCACTGTATTGTGTTCTGATGTTCAGTGTCAATTGTTTTGATCGTTTATTTACTTTATTTGTCAGCATTCCTATGGAGAATTGCACACTCAGCTTGGAAGCAGTGCTGTACATCCACAGCAGAAATACTGGTGAGGACTGCCTGATGTTGTGCACCAACAATACATGGATTGGAGCACCCAGAGCAGCTTTTAGCTCGGGCTCAATGCAATGGCAGGGCTGTGCATTGGTTGGGACTAGCGGTGAATATTTGCCCTGGGCTGCATAGCTTTTCTCCAAACTATTTTATTTTTCAAGAAGTTGTGTGAGCTTGAGGAGACAAGCAACACCCAAGGGCAGGGGATGGGCTCTGAGCACTGATGGAGCTGTGGGTGTCCCCATTCACTGCACGAAGTGGGACCAGATGGCCTTTAAGGATCTCTTTCAACTCGGATGATTCTATGAGTCTACGACATAAAGTCTGTATGGGGCAGAGAAGTTGTGTGTGACAGTAACTCAGTGTGCGGATTGTAATCCTCCAGCACCAAAAGCACCTACTGAACTTCAGTGTTGTGTCTGTGCCTTGTTGTTGTTTGGAAAACTGGAGAGGAGAAAAAAGTCCTCTATTTATTCTGCTTTGAAACATTCCTACTGTATGGACGATAGAAGTGTGAGCGTGGAGGTTTTCAGAGCTGGTTTGCTAAAACCAAACCTCCCTTAAATGCAGGTCCTTAGCAAAATGCAGCAGGAAGGGTGTTGCACTGTAGGCTTCTTCCCCTCATCTGTCGTGCTGTTACTGCAAATTCGTTGGGAATAATCATCAAGGATACAGAGGATGGGGTGGTGTGGGGTTAGCTTTAAGACAGAGGGAAGCCCTGTTTGCATTATGAACTCAAAGCAGCAGTTGAAACTTACAAGGGAGAGAATATTAATGGTATTTTGTGAAAATATTGTAATTTGTAGAAGGCCCAGAGTGAAAAACACGCTGGTTGAGAGTCTGGAGGCAATGCTCCTTTCTGCATGAGGCTTACTGAGACAGGGTTTGCCTTGCTTTTGTTTCTAAAGCAACCTGCTGGCAGGCTCAGCACACCTGCAGTCCTGTATCCGGAGCCCTGCTGTGCTGGTGGGCGCAGGACATCGCTGGTCAGGGTGAATCCTGCACCTTTTTTTATTTCTTCCCCTTTTGCTAATGACACTTCCTTCTGCTTACATGTCATCAAAGCTCTGTAATGGCTGAAGATCAGCCCGTACTGAGCATGCTCCGGGATTGAAGCTGCACCCATAGAGGGAGATGGATGCGTGGCCGCAGGAGGAGCAGGCCCACGGGCAGAGGATGGCCACGTGCCCAGGTAGGGGGCTGCTGGAAGCGGTTTGGGCTCTGCTCGGCTCCACCACCACCACCGGCTGGCTTCGTGCTGCCTCCTGTGGATTGGAAAATCCAGGCCTCGGCTGCCTGGCGAGCCTCCATGCAGCAGGGACCTGGTGAGCTCCAGGGTGGTGGCCCCGAGGAGCCGGGCTGGTCGCCAGCACTGCAGGGAGTGCTGGGCTAAGCCTTCCCCACGTGAGGCACTAATTATTGTTAATGGGAAGCCTCGTGGGGCACGGACCTGCTCACTGCTCTGAGATCTGTCTGCAATCGTAGGAAGGCGAAGGAACGTCAAACTCCAGCTCCCTTCCTCGGTCTGCATTCCAAGGGTTGCAAACAAATCTTGCCAAATCAGCTCTTCCAAATTTGCAAGGAAAGGAGGGAATCTGTGTGTCTGTTCCTTTGGCTGAGATTAGCTTTTATTCATGCGCTGCTTTCTGGGTTTAACACGTTGGTGAATGGTTTGTGAAAGGAGCGGGGCCATGTGTGAGGCTGGGCTGGTGCACTGTGTGCGTGGCTGCAGCCCTCTCCAGCCCCAGTCACCCACCCTGGTGCCAGCAGGCTGTGCTGGAAGGTGCCAGCGAACCCACTGCAGATCTGGGCTCTCCACGCCTGTACCAGAGAGCTGCAGGGAAGATGTGGCTTTGTGCCCCATGGCAAAGGTGCTGTTGGGCATCCCTGGTGCTGTTGGTGTGGTTTGAGCAAAGGTGAGGCGTGCTGCATCAGGGCGTCGTGCAGGCTGTGGTGTTGTGAAGTTATCACTTTTATTAGCAGAACACTCTGCAGCCTTCAGTCTGTGTGCAGCAAGGCTGGCTGGCTCCTCAGGACAACCCTGCTGCTTTTCATCACGCAGATCAGCACATGGAGGAGAGCGGCACACACGTTTTTATTTTATGGCTCTGTCCCAGGTGACGGCCTCACACGCTCAGGTCAGTCTGCATGATGAGTCACATCGCTGCATCTTTGTTGCCTGGCTCCACATTGCTGGCATACCCAGAGCTTCCAGCGCCTTCTCTGGGCAATCAGGCAGGGCAGGACCCAGCCCAGGCCAACAGGCAGCTCAGCTCCCATGTGGGGACCAGCTCGGTAGAGGCTGGTTTTGGCAGTCCCAGCAGAAAGCCAGCTTGAGTCCATGCATCCTGGTGATGCAAACTGCATTCTCTGTGAATGGATGCTGGCTTGTTTGCGGTTGGGTGAATGCACAAAGAGAAGCGTTTATGTAAAATAAATGGCATTGTAATCGTACATGGAAAGTAAAAGGTTTTGATTTATTTTGGCTCAGATGGGGGCTGCGTTTACAGCTTTTCCAATTTGATCCCAGTGGCTTTTCCTCCTCGCGTGACTCTGGCACTGGAATCATCTGTGTCCTGTGTTTTCATGTATGGTCTGGCTCCCGTGATGAGGAAATTTGATTAAACAGTTTGGGATGCTGAAAACCACTGGGGTAATAATTTCTTATTGTGCTTGTGTGAAAGGTGTAAGGTAGCCTTAAAGACCCACTGCCACCTTATGGCAGTTGCTGAAAGCAGCCTCATCTGAGCCAATTCTGTACGCACATCATGCTTGCTTTATTTCTCTGCTCTTCTTAACTAGTGATATTTGCATGAAGGCAAGAGCTTTGTTTTTAGAGAGTTCATCTGCTCCTTCTGTTCCTTGCAGCAATGTATAATGTCAGTGGAATCGCTTATAGAGCCATCAACTGTGGTGCTGCGATGCAGGAGTTCATGATTTGGGGAGGGAGAGAAAAGCACCACGAAGAGCTCATTCTCTCCCAATGAAGAGCGTGCTTATTTTCACGTGAATGCCCTAATGCTTTAAAAAAAAGAGGTGTGAGGTCAAAGAACAGGGAGCCTCGGAGCACGTGAGGCTGGTGGGCAGAGCCCTGGTGTTCCAGCAACGCAGTGCAGCAGAAGCGAGGTTGAATGTGAGCGGCCATTTTCCTGCTGCTCTGCTGGCAGAGGACTGCTAATAAGCAGCGTGGCTTTGTGCTGCTCCCATCCCACCTCCCAGCCCCCAAACAACCCCATAAACCGTTTGTTGAGCAAACTGGGAGCGTGGCTGATGCAGAAAGCTTGCTTGCTGTTGCTGAGATGGGCTGTGCAAGCAATGTTTGCAAAGGCTGCATTTGTTAACGGAAGAAGCTCTTGACGTGCAATAGCTGAATGAAGGGGAGAAATGGTGTTTTCTGCTTTCCAAAATAGAAGGAGCCACGGTTACTATAAGTTAAAGCTGAAGGAGTTTCTAATTGGGAACTGTTAGGACTACAGTATGTTCTGAATTATAGCTGTCTGGCCAATATGCTTCTAAATAAAGTTACAGAATTGCCCCCAAAAATGAAATAACTCAGCACATGTTCTTATCAAACATAGCAACATCTTCCATAGGGCTTACCTCTCTACATCTTTTGCGACAGCATCTTTTTTTTTCTTTTTCTTTTTTTCCCACTTTAATTTTTTTAATCCCCTTTTTGGGGTATGTGATGTACTCAACACAGTGTCCCGGGGAACATTTCGTGTTGTCTATTAACGAAAGGCAGTTTGCTGAAACTAAATGCAGGAGGAGGGGAGATGGCTTGAAAAGATTTTGGGTAAAAAGAAATAAATAACATTCAGGCTTTGAAAGGTGGAGAAAGCTGCGATTCCAGAAGTGTGCATTAATGAGCGAATGCTGCTTCAGAGCTGTTAGCTGAGGTTGGATGTGGACATTTCGGCTCCCTCAGAGGATGCTGAGGACAATCAGTGCGTCCTGGGAATGGGCACTCTGCTTAGGAAGTGGTGTAAATAGTCACCGAGGGGGGATGGAGGCGTTGTAAGAGCTTGCGGCCGAGCAGAGCAGCGCTTCTTAGCAGAGCAAAAGAACTCGGGATTCCAGCAGCAGTGCTCTCTGTATATCCAGAGCCCTTTATTGGGAGTGGTTTGTTCTGTTGTGTTTGTGGGATAACTTCTGAGGAGGCCCCAAAGGAGCTTCAGTTGTGAGCAGGTGGAGGGTCTGAGCTGAAAGAGGAACCTGACGAAAATGAGGAGAACCCCCTGCGTTTTGCAGGGCTAAATACTGTTCTTCCTATAGAAAGCAACATCTCCCCTTGCCTCCTGCTTGTGTTTCCGCTGCAAGGGAGCTGTGAAAATGCCATGTGTAATGGTGTAATTAAGCAAAAGCCCTCAGGAACCTACTGTCCTTTGTGCTGTGCCGCTGCCTTCGTCTTGGAAACGTGAGGTTTCTGAAAGGAGTTTTCAAGCTTTGAGTGGGGGAACCAAGGCCAGGAGGCTCAGTGTCAGCATAGCGGGTGTCTGTGTGGGCCCTGCTAGGATGTCTTTGGAAATGGGGAATGCTAAGCTGTCCAGCGTGCTTTGGTGAAGAAACTGGTGAGGAGTCCTTGGGGCAGATAAAGGGGAACGCTTCACGGAGTGTGGGCTGCTGTTATCTCACATGCTGAGCAAACCCCCTTCCTCAGCCATTTCAGAGACACGTTTCATTTTGCAGCAGAGGGGAAGGCAGGCCAGTGGGCTTCTGCAGACAGCAAGTTCCTGAATGGTTAAACTGTGCATCCTTCCAACGTGCCAGCCTGCGTCACGGGTCGGGGGGGAAGGCTTCCTGTCTTGTGGGAACTGCTTGGGAGAGGGCTTAGATCTTCAGGAAATGGGGAGATGGGGCTGTGACCCCGCGGAGATGCTGGCATGGTGCGGATCCAAGGATTGGTTGTTGGACTGCCTGCACCAGGCTGAGCTGTGTGGTTGTTTAACAGATCTTCAGTACGTTCAGGGCTGAACGTGAGATGTGCAGAGTGTCTCTGGGTGCTTCTGCTCTCGGTGTATTTTTAACCTCAGCAGTAAAAACATCTGTAGTATTGGGGTGCGGTGGGGAGCGCAGGAAGAGAGAGCTGCAGGATGGGTCCCTGTCCTTTTCTCTCTGAAAAGGGACGTTGGCTGTGGTCCCTCATTGGTTTTGCATTTAGAAATATCTTTGTTTCTGTGTTTTAAATGAAAGCTTGGTAATCTCATGCTGCAAGGGAAGGCGGCACTCCTATAGAGCCATCTTTGGTTTGAAGCACAGTATTCTTTTGATGCTGTGGATAATACAACTCAAGTCTGTGTAGTCGTTCTTATTGCTTTTGTTTTGAGATTTTTGGGGTTGTCTCCAATTACTTACCTCTCTGCCTTTCAGTGATTGATAGGAAGGCCAGCAAAATCTCATTTTATGTATATTAAAACTTAAAGTTTACATCAAGCAAAAACCCAGTGGCTGAAAGAGAGATCCTTGCTTTCTACTGTCACCTCAAATATTCATTCCCTATGAATTTCAGTCATCTCAATTTAGCCTTGTGTGTTTTAACTGTTTAGTAGTGAAACTTCTCTAGAGTGCAGAGAGAAAAATAGTGTCACTGTAGCTGAAGCAGACCCAGAGGAGCTCTCCTGCTGCTTTAACTATCGCTGCTTTGCAAATGTGCAAGGACACAGTGGTGAAGTAGCTGCTTGGTCTCTGATGCTGACACAATAGCAGGACATGCTGGCGCTGCTCAGCAGAGGAGAGGAGGGAATGGGTTGAGCAGAGCAGGCGTTGGCTTCATGCTTGTGCTGGAGGTGTGAGTTTGGATGCCTGCTTTTCATGCATGTTGCAAAGCAAATAAAATCATTGGGCTTCTCAAAACCTCGCCATGGATTTCTCTGGCTTTTTCCCCCGCTCTGTACAGGCAGTTCCCTGCCCCCAACAGCCCACTACAACGCACTACACTGAGCTCGTCTTCATTGTAACAGTTAGCCTTTAAGACAATCATCTTCTGTGTTCTGATTTCATGGAAAATAGCTTTGCTTTGGCCAAGAGCAGCCAGGAGGTGCCACAGCCCATGTCTGAGTTTCCTCTTCCTCCTCGCCTCCTCTGGCTGGGTTCTCCCTCCCGCCCCACACGGGCAGCCCTGCAGCGATGGGGCACCCCACTGCCAGCCCCACTGCCAGCCCCACTGCCAGCCCCACTGCCAGCCTTCTGCTTGCATCTTTTCCAGCCCTGCTCTGCCTGCAAATGTTCCTGCACATCGCTTGGGTTTCTCCGGGAGCATGAGCAGATGCAAACGTTGCCAAGAGTTTGTGCTTAATTGTTAAGGAGAACAGAGACAAACTACTTTTATTTTGAAGCTAAAACGTTCTTTTATCTTGCTGGCTAGGCCAGATGTATCATATGGTTTGACATAGGCTGAGCTCAGAGCTACTGCACCTCGCAGTGCACTCGCTATCACTTCATTATGTTTTCCCCCCTCTTTTTAATGATTGTGGCTGTGGTATGCTTTTAAGGTTGGCTGTACCAGGTCATGTTGTATTATAAATCCTCACAGAGGAAGCCAGCACCCCTTCAGATCAGCAGGTCACATCTCAAATCCTCTTGCAGTTGGACACTGCGCATTTAACCAGTTTAACCCGTGTGCCTTCGTCCCCCTCCTCACGGGTCAGCCCCTTGATGAAGCAGTACAAAAGCATCACAGGGATGTCCCTGTGCCACACCGCGTCCCTCCCCATCCCTGCTCCCCTTGCCTTTTTTTTTTGTGGACAAGGGCTACTCTTGAAGGCCACTGAAACAGAACACATTCTGGGTTTAAAAGGCTTTTTTTTTTCCAGGCAAGCGATCAGTTTGAGGCCTGGCACCCTGTCAGAAAGTTGACAGATGATCTGCATTACCGGGGCGTCCCCGGGATGCCCGGGCTGATCGCCGCTCCAATGGACGCTGGAGCCTGCAGGTTCTCTGTGAAATGGCTGCAGCTTGGAGGGAGCAGTGAAATGGTCTCCTCTGGGCATGCTCACTCTGTAGAGGGAGCTTTTATCACATGAGCAGAAACTGAATCACTGCTCATGAGGATCTGGAATATGCAACTCTTTGAGTCTTCCCCAGGAGAAGACCACAGATGTCTGCAGGTACAGTAGCTCGCAGTGTCCATCTCCCATACCTCATAAATAGCAGCGTCCCTCCGGTTGGGGCTACAGGCAGCCTGGTGCCAGGTGGGAAAGGAGAAGCCTCGGAGAGGAGGAAGACAGTTCAGATAATCATGGCTGGATTCTTTTTTTTTGTCAATTCTCTCTTTTCTTCTGCCCTGTGCGAGGGAGGGAGCGCAGCAGGACGGCAGCCATGCGGGGCAGGGTGCTGGGGAGGTTGGGGAGCAGCCTGGAGCTGCCTTGTCAGCGTTTGACTGCTCTTTTGTGTTGTTATGATTGTGACTTTGTTCTGTTCCATGGCCTTGCACGTACATCTGGCATTACCTGGGCTCAGGGGAAGCTTGGGCTCTGGATCTTTTGTTTGCCTTCTGTGGTGGGGAAGCTTGTTTGGAGGGATGGCGTTTAATTTTATTTTAGGGTTGGGTTTTAAAAAAAAAAAAAAAAAAAATTAAAAAAAAAAATATTTTTTTATTGTTTAAACATGAAATCTTTGGGAGAATTTGGGTCTACCAGGAGCTCTCCTGGCTATAAGAGGAGCAGAGGCGGGGGGCACAGCTCTGCCCTGGGGAAGCACTGCACAGAGCCCCTGGGCAGGGAGGCCCTGTGTTGGCTGCGGCCTACGGCTCCCTGCTGAGCCTGCAGAGAACAGCCATGCTATTCTACCGACAAAACAAGAGCAAAATAAAAAAACAACAATAATTTTGGGGGGTGTTTTCCACCCTCTTTTTAATTTAGTTTTATTATTATTTTTCCTGGTAGTAGTTTGCAATCCATGCAGCTGATTCAAACAAAACACCCGTGGTTGGCGTGGTGGCAGGAGGCAACAGGCCTGCAGTTTATTTAGCTAAAATTCAGCCCCCCGGCCCCGCCGTGCTCGTGGGGTTTTTGATATTGGGGTTTTTTTGTTTGTTTGTTTTTTGACGTTTGTGTTAAATGCAGATACTGTATGGGTGCTCAGCAGGCCCGGCGTTGGGCTGTTGGGCCGTGCTGGCAATAAGGCAGCAGTGGGCGGTCAGCGGGGCTTCAGCTCCGCACCTCCCTGCCTGCTCACAAGGACTTCTCCTCCAGTAAACGTGCACTGAAGGAAAAGACAACGAGAGGAAGTCATGAGGAGAGGTTTCTTTCTGGAAGCAATGAGTGAAGGCCTGGCTGGCTCCTGCCCAGAGAGCTGCGGTGCTGGTGGAACCAGGCTGACATGGAGCAGCGCTGGTGCCTGGGGAGCACAGTGACTGAGCACCCATAGCACCTGGTGCTGTGTGGCCTTCAGAGAGCTTGGAGGGAAGACAGAAACCTCAGACCTGGACTTCTGTGGAAGTTAACAGCCCTAAATATGGACATCTGGGTGCTGTTATTTTTCTTTTTTTCTTTTCTTCCCCCCATATTAAACTGACTTCGAAGTTGAGTCCAGCATGAGCAGCCTTCACTGCCTTTCAAGACAATCACAGTTCCTCTTACCCCACCTGTGGTGATCAAGTATGAAGGAACCCACACCACTCTCCTGCCCTTCGCCTCATTTTTTTCATCTCTCAGCACAAGCAAACATTTGGATTTCCCTGCAGGGCAACCATCCCCCCCATTACCCAGCGTGACCCCACAGGCCCTACAGCAGGATTGCACCTCTCCAGTGCGGAGGCTGGATCCCATTACGGGGTGAGCACAGGGCTGCCAGCACCACCTCCTCTGCCCAGTGCCGTCTCAGGATCGCATGCTGCTTGTACAATGGCAGGGAGTTATTTTGTTCAGGTAAACAAGGACATTTAAGGAGCTTCGCTGTCGTGACCAGCTGGTTTGTGGATGGCTGGGGGAGGGATGACTTGATTCCTGGGGCTGCTTTTTGTTGTCCTTTTGTCTTTTTCCTCTTAAATTTTTCCTTCTCCTGGTGTTGCTCCTGGAGCTGCCAAAGGCTGAGGAAGCACCACAGTGACCACCCTGCAGTAGGAGAAATGTCTTGCTTTTGGTTCAGCCCAAAGACTTGGGGCTCTGGCAGTGTGCGCTCCCTGCTCTCGAGGCTCAGAGGACCATATGTTCCTGCAGTGAACTGCAAAGCCCGTGATTTGGAAGCGAATCTTGAATTTATAACCCTTAACCACCACTTTCAGCCGATTCTTTTCAACTACTGTAAATTAAATGAGTTTTGAAATCAAACCCTCTTCACAGACGAGACCCCAGCAGCCAGTAACGTGATCTCCCCTGACGTTCAGACTCGGCCCTTTGCAGATCTGTCTGTCCCTCCTCCCCTCCGGTGCCTGTTTGAACTCCTTGGTCTGTTCTGCAGCATAGGAAATGTCTGGCTCTGCTGCCTAGTGGTGTTGGTCCTAGAGGGGGGCAGCGATGGAGGACGGGCACTGCCCAGCAGGGTGTGGGGTTATTGGTAAAGCAGCTGGAGAGAAGCTCGTTCACTGCCTGAGCTAATTGGAATGTGTTTTTAAAAATAAAAGGAAAAAAAACAAAACAACCAACAACACAAAAACATCACTGGGAGAAAAAAAATATAGAGCAAGCTCTTAAAAAATATTCTGGGATCCAAAATACCAACTTGTTTCCCCCGATCCAGGTAACTGCAGTTCCCCAAGGAGGGGGAAGCCTGGTGGAAGTGGTGGAAAAAGGGAGAGGTGGTGAGGGTTAAGAAGATCTGACGTGTGAGCGTCTTCCCTGCAACGCTGCCATACTGTGTCGGAGCAGCACAGTGCCTCTTGTAAAAGAAGCTTTGCACAAATTGTCCTTGTTCCAAGGATGAGGAAACCTCCAGGTCTTCTGGCATTTTCTGTCCAGCATAACTTGGAGCTGCTTTCACCTGGAAAGCATGATAAACACAGACGGGGAGAGGACTGGAACAGAGAGAGACTGGGAACAACCTTGCAGTGCTTTTAATGGAGCTCTTGGTGTTAAATGAAGAACTTTTCCCCTCCTCCTCTCCTCATTTTCCTGTGTGCCTGCAAAAATACTCTGGTTTGCATTTAAAGGAGAAAACTGTATGTGCTGGGACTATGCCAACTTGTTTATTCAAGGGAAATACCATATTTCCAAGGCTTTCTTTCTCAGAGGAAGGCTTGACAGAGGATGGCAGACCGGGCTGAACATTGTATTTTTAGGTGACATCGAAGCACAGTTGTGATTTGAAGAAGCTGAAATCATGGCTGGCATTCTGCATTGAGCTCGACGAGACTTGTGCTCCCCTCACCCCAGAGAGGGGTTAACTTCTTCCTCCTAGACTTTGTGCTCCGAGCAGGTGGATTTTGACCTAAAACAAGGGGAGAAACAGCAACAACGACAACAACAGTAAACTGCAACTTTCCACACTTTGCAATTTCCCTTCTCCAAATTGGATTTTTATTGCAAGGCAGGAGCTCGCCCCTGGCCCGGCGGTGGTGAGGAGCGGGGCTGTGAGCAGCCGTGGTTGCAAGCACCAGCTCCTCTCCTACTGTCAAAAAATGGCAGGTCAGTGTGCGTCTGTAAACAATGCAGTTATGAAATGGCAGCGCCAGGCCGAGCTGAGCATGCTCGGGAGCTGCCTGTAGGGGGAGGTGAGCCGAGAAAGATGATCTAATTCAGTGCAATTCTTGGGATTGAAGGAAAAGACCAGGCTCCACTCTTAATGACAGAGCAGAAAAAAAGCCCCACGAAGGACGAAGCCCGTAGGCCATGGAGGCAAGGTGGTGAGGAGCTGCCACCTCTAGGACTTCGGGTGCTGGGCAGCGCTGCGTGCCTTTCTCACCCTCCAGGAGAGTAAAGTCTTGGTGAGGTTTTGCTGTAGCTATTAGAGGGACAGGCCCTAGGGTGCAACTTTTGTCTTGTTTTTTGCCTTGTTTTCCTCTCCCTGTCTGCTTTCCCGGCTTGCAGGCGTCGCTGTGGTTGCAGGTGGCACAGAAGAGGTGGTGTGCGCGGGGCAAGGTCCTCCATGGCCCAAGGAACACCCAGGCTGGGGCCACCTCCCTGGGCCCTGGCCTGAGAAGGTGTCCCTTCTGGTGTTGCTGGGCTGGGTAGGGGTGTGAGGGAGCTGCTCTGTTGGCTGTGGTGGTTTGGGGGAGGGAGGAAGAGGATGGCTGAGGCCAAAGAGGTGCCTGGGTGTTGTCGATGGGGACGAGGCTGCAAACTGTTCTCTCCAGGCTCTTCCTGGTGCTGTGATTTCATCCTTGCTGAGCCCTCCTGGGGACCAAGTGTTTCTAAAGTGTCTGGTTTGCTTTTGCTAGAGAAGATTAAGAGTCTTCATCTCTGTTTTAGGGGTCTCTACCCCCCCCCTCTCCCTTGTGATAGGAGAAGGTGGGCAGCAGCTGTACTTCTTGCTAACCTTAGCCAGTGGAAGGAGATGCCTTTGTCTGCTTTGGATTTCCATTTGTCTTCACATACAAGTTGTAGTGGTTGTCACTCTACTGGGTCACGGTTAGATGGATGCAATGCTTCCCAGCGTGGAAGCAGCAAGACAACATAGCTGCATCCGCACCAAGGCTGCCCTGTTCACTGGGTTCATCCCTACAGGATCCTGGGCTCCACAAACCCCCCTTGCCTGAAGCCTGGGCACCATTATGGGCTGCCTAGTGCTGTGAGAACCCACTTTTAAGTCTTGTTGTGTTTCATGCGTGTGTCTCCTTGTTCCCAGCTGTTGCATGCAAGGACTTGTGCCTCGTTTCTACCCTTCCCCCATTTTTTGGGAGTTGATCTGTGTGGCTGGAATTGGAGGGAGTCATGGGGGCAGAGAAGAAAATGTTTCTGTTCTCCTAGGATAGGAGGAATTCAGGAGACAAAAGAATTGCAGGTCTAGTTTGATTTGGGGACAGACTTCTGGCTGAGAGGAGTGCTTGTTGTGAGCTGCAGATAAAATTCCACGTTCACATGATTGCACGAGGCTTATAAGGAAGTGGCCTTAACCTAGAAAAGGAGCTTTGAGACTGGTGACTGCTTTGTAGGCCAGGTACACGGGTGTTACATTTCCTTTCTTCTCCAAATCGAATGCTTCTCATGGCAGGCCCAGGGCCAGTGTCCCCGTGACTGGTGATCCCAGACCTGCCCATGCTCAGCAGGACCAGAGCAGAGCCGAAATCTGAAATCAGCACTCTTCTCCTGCCTACAAAACAAACACCATTTCTCTACAGGCGTTTTCTTAATCATTGCTTCCTATATAATTAGGTACAAAACGTTTGCCTTCTTTTAAGGCAAAGGTTATGAGCAGGTTGGGTTTGTTGGGTTTTATTAGCAGGAAAAAAATGAGAGGAAATGGGAATCCGCTGCTGCTGGAGTTGCATCATTTATCGAGGGCTTTGCCTTCCTTTCTTGCTGCTGCACACACTGCTGCCTTGCATGGGGTGAGATCCAGTTGTGGGGCTGTGCTGGTGGTGTCACCTCTGGGGGCCCATTGTCCCCTGGGTGCCTCCTGTTGGGGGCTTCTGGGCCCCCAGGGTCACTGCTGTCCCCTGTGCCTGGTGTGCATGTGTTGGGGAGCGTCGCTGCAGCTGCTGCTGGTAGCACAGCAGTTCTGTGCAGCAGAGTTGGAGAGGGGTTGGTCATTCTGCTTCCAGCCCTCCTTCAGATTGACCTGCTTTAACACACGTCTCAAATCAGAGCAGCGTTGCTGCAAAGCTTGGGTTGATTTTTAAGAAAACAAGGAGGGGAGGAAAAAAAAAAAAAAGGACTCTTGTGGAGGTAGTCATCTTAGCACATCAACCTCCGCTCCTTCCTGGTCTACTGCTAGAGAGCTCTGGTTCATGATGCAACTAACTGCTCTCTTGGGCTTGGTAAGATACAATATGTTGGAGTTGTGCTGTGCATGTATTGTCTTTGCCTGTAAAACCTGCTTGGACTTTTGCAAAGGGCTGATGAAAATGCCAAGGAGGAGGCTGAGGAAGCTCTCTGCGCTTCCCAGCTTTGCTCTTTTTGTTGTTGTTTTTTGTTTTAAAGGCACCATGCAGTTTCTGGTTGCCTGCTTGGAAATGCTGCAGAGCGTTTCCTCGGCTCTGCCCTGTCTTCCGTCCTCTCCAAAGACGTGGTGGAGGAAGGGAAGCCTTATTTCTTGTTAATCAGAGGCGGAGAGGAAAGACTAAAGCCAGCCCTTGCTTGGATCTTCTTGGCTTCTAAAGCCCTTTCAGACACCTTTCTTAAGACGCAGCCATTTTTCTTTCCCTCGAAATCTAAAAATAAAAGGAGCCGGTGGGGGGAATCACGCCCCGTCGCTGGTGGCACGCAGCCTTGGTGGAGGCTCTCCAGTGGCTGGAGGTTAATAATCCATCTGGGGTCGGGGAATGGAGGCGGCCGTCTGCGGGGAAGGGGGAAAAAAAATAAAAGAGGAGAGCGTGAGACTTTTATTGTGAAGCAGCCTGAGCTTGGCAGTTGGCTTTTGTTGGGACTGCTGCAAGAGCCGACACTTCTGGCGGGGAGGGTGGGTATAGGATTTCCCTGCCAATCAGGAGCCGACGGATTGGGCCATGGGGTGTGAGCGAAGGGGAAGTTTGCTCTGAATTTAAGGGGGGAAAAGCAAGGCACACAAATATGGAGGTATTGACACTCGCAGCCAAGTTGCTGCTGGCTCGGCTGGGTGGAGCCGTGGGCCGGTGGGAATGGCTGGGCTGTGGGTGGTGGGCACCCAGGGTGCTGCCTGCTGCCCGACCTGCTGCCAACACCCTGCTGCGGTGATGGAGCGCGGGCGGAGGAGTGCTGTCCTTGGGGACGAGGCTTCGAGGGCCGTGCGGTGCTTTCTTGGAGCCTCCTTTGGATCAGAAGGCTTCCAAAGTCACAGTTGTCTTTTTCATTATTGTTACTTGATTCTTTCCCTCCCAGCAGGTCTGAAGGTGCGTTAGCGTTGTGGATGGAGATGCTGGCTGTTTGTTTGCTCCAGAGCAATGCCCGGAGGCCATCAAGCTGCTGCTAGGGAGGCCGCTTGGCTGGGGCTGCAGAACCCATTGGAACCACCTCAGTGGCTTTGACTTGGCACTGAGCTTTCCTTCTCCAGCGTGGAGCAGCGATGGTTCCTCTCTTGGTGCTGCTTTGAGAGCTCCCAGCGCTGTCCGGGATGTGGGGCAGCTCTGGGCTCCTGTTAATTGCAGAGAAGAGGGAGTGTGTTCTTTAGCTGCAGAGGGCTGGCTGACGCTGGGGCTCCTGCAGTGGCTTTTCTTTAGGCCTCGTGGTCTGAGCAGCAGCAGTGTCCCCATGAAAGGGAGGGCGTGAATAATTGGTGGAGTGGGGGAGCTGCTTGAAAAATAAAGGATGGGAGGGATGGAAATGGCCTGCTGGAAATGCTGAGGCTTTCAGGAGGAGTCAGTTGAACAGCAGGAATATCACGACCTCTATTTATTGTAACAAAGCTTGGGAAAACCAGCAGGTCTGTGTGAGATGAGCAGGGGCTCACTGCACTGGCCAGGGCCCAGGGCAGCTCCCTGCTTACCCTTGCATCACGATGAACTTGTTGGGCAGGTGAAGTTGTCTGCATTTTACAGCAAGTGTGGGTGGAGGAGAGGTAGGATTTACTTGTAGATGTTTTCATTGAAGACGCACGTTATGCCTTAGCAGGGAAAAGCTGATCTGTGTTCCTGTTCGAGGCTGTGTTCCTGTGGTTCCTTGATGGGAGCTGTTGGAAGCAGGCATTGCTCAGGCTGGCTGAGCCTTTGGCTCCCAGCAGTAGCACCAAGGCTGGTCTGCCTGGGTGGCTTCAAACGGAGAATGGCTGGGGAAGGGTGAGCAGCAGCAGCACCTTGTTTGCCTGGTGAAGCCTTTGAAGCTGATGTTTCAGCCTTCGTATGCATTTGTTATCTCTTGCTTGCTTTATGGGAGATGGCAGGCCTTCTGTTCCTTTTTTTAACCACTCATTGTGCTTTAAACCTTTTGATTTGCGTGGCTGTGGGCTTCATCTTCTCCCTGCTGCACTTGGTTTGACCTGGGCTCATGATATTGGGGCTCCCCTGGTGCCGTGCAGCTCCATGGGCGGGCACCTGCTTGTCTTTTAGTTTGGGAGCAGAGAGCTGTAGCAAAGGACCCTTCTCATGTGTGTGTTTGGTTGTGGGTTTTATAAGACTTCTCTCCTTTGTTTTGGTAGCTTTTTTTGTTTTTAATTACCTGCCCCCCAAAATCTGCAGCAGTGGTATTAGGGCTGTAGACCTGATGTAGCAATGTGATGTCAGACATGTGAAAGGCAGAGGGGAGAGCAGGTGTTCCCTTTCTGCAGAAAAATAAAAGAGGAAGAAAAGAAAAATTACTTTCCATAAAATTAAGACATGAGCTCACTGGCCCTAACAAACATGGAAGGTAGGGGCGATGAGTTAGGTGCAGCTCACTGATGGTTGTGTTTTATAAATTGCATTTAAACAGACCGCAAAAAGCAGAAATACCGAAGTGTACTTCGACCTGCTTGTGCAGATAAATGATGTGCGGCAAGAAATGGGCTCAGCCCACCTCCTCCTAACCACTACAGAGCAGTCTGGGGCCGCGAGGGTCATTTCCTTGGGGTGCTCTCCGTGCCCCTTTCAGCCTGCAGCAGCCTCGGTTGGGTTTCTCAGCTCTTTGCATTCAGAGCTGCATGGTTGCACCCAACTGCAGTGCCTGCCTCGGCCCCAGGCGCAGGTCCCAGCCCTAGGGCCTTTATCTCTGACCTGTGCCTTGGCAGTTTCCTGCCAGCGGTATTTTGCAGAGAGTGGTTGGCCTGTGATGTAAACAGGATACATCCACAATTTTTTTTTTATTTTTAAATGCAATGTGTGTATGAACTTGGAGCTAAAACTCGGTATTTCTTTTTCCCCCCATCAGCAAACAGTGCTGAGTAAGGGAGAGACAAGGAAAGACGCCTGCATGAAGACTGAACTGCTGAAAGATATCACCAACAACAAGGAGGAAGGTGAGCACCTGCTGTGGTGGAGGGCCAGACCTCAGCCTGGCTCATGGGGTTGGCTTTTGGCAAGCTGGGAGTGAGGTGACGGCTGAGAGATGTGCTCTGGGCCCAAGGGCTCAGCTGTGCTCTCACAAAAGGAGCAGCCCCGTTCTCCTCCTGTGTTCTGCTGAGCAGGGCTTTTCCCCAGAAGATGCAAATTTGCTCTACAGTCCATCCATCTCCACCCACCTGAATTATATATGGTTTTCACTTCTGCTTTAGTGTGGCTGTGAGACACAAAGGAGGCTCGAGTTACTTTGAACTTCCTCTGTGTGACTGCTTTTAGTCAAACTCTGATCCACACGACGACCTGGCCTTTTTCCTCCCTATTAAAGTTAACTTTCTGTTTTCCTCTGAGTCTCTCTGTTGCTCCAGAGCAGGCAGCGATCACTGCTGGCTGAGTGAGACACCTCGTGCCAGTGAGGGTTGCTTCCTGGCTTCTGCCTTGTCTCTGCTTTCTTTTACTTTGCAGGCTGTAGTGCACGTGTTAGTTGGATGAAATCTTTCCTCTGCGGTTGTCTGTGAGTTGCACACGCACAGATCTGAGAGCTTAATAGATGTCGGTGGGATTAGGAGGAAAAAAAGAAACAACACAGCCCCTAATCTTTTTTTTTCCCCACTTTCTTTTCATGGCTTCATTATTCCTTGACTAGCTGCTTCTCATTGATCTGCCAGGATCTGGGGAATTTTTGTTCTCTTCTCCGTAATAGAACATCAGAAGAGCACTGAACTGACCCCACCAAAATACTCTGTTCTTGCTAGAAACAAAATTTTGGACTTAATTTGGACCTGTGTGAGTACAGCATCGCCTTTGAGTTCTCTTCTGCCCAGCGTAATGTTTTGTTTTGTTTAGAAAGAACAAACAAAATCCTGAGTGCTGTGTCAGATGTGACCACGGTGCTTGCATATTAACTGGCAGCACGTGAGTGTTGCTGCTGACGTCAGTTCCACGTGGACCTCTGATCCAGGAAGACCAGAAATGGAGTCTGAGATGTCGGTATGAGGTTGCATTCCTCTGGGAAGAGACTTGAGCTTTGATCCCTTGCTTTCCTTGGCTCAGGAGTGTTATGGTAGTGTATTTAGCTCTAGGTTGACCCCAAGGTAAGTGGCAAGTGTCTGCAGAGGTGAAAAGAGAGGATGAGGTCTGGAAAAGAGAAACTTTTGTGCCTTGCAAGTCTTGACTCATTCTGACGAAAAGGAAATGCTGTGTTTGAAAAGGAAGCTGGGAACCCTCCCTGTGCAGGAGCAGTCCTAAGGGTTGACAAGGTGCTCGAATTTCAACCACTTCAACCAGCTTACTGTCCTGTTCTTTTACTGGGGAAAAAGGATCCTAACGTCTAAACTGCATAGTTTCCATACTTGTGGTGAGATTCAGACTGTATTCTCTTTCTTCTCAAACATACAATTTATGTAAAAGACAATGGTTTGCTTGGTCATCGTGCTACATGCATTGTTCTTAGCTGACCTTCATTAACCATCTGTGGCCATCATAGCAGTTCAATTAGTCAGCGGCCCTAAATTCTGTTAATAACAATGTTCTGAGTTAGCATGGGAATTTGCATTTTGGAGTGTGGGGTGAACATGAAATCATTCCAGCAGACTCCCAGGATGGCACGGAATGGTTTCTTTGAGCCCGTTTTTCCTAACCAAGGGATGGGAAGTGATGTGTGGATATGGGGTGCACAGCCTGGTGCAGCTCCCTGCTGTGTGGGACGTGGCTCTTGGTGTTTGCTCTCTGCTTTAGAGAAAAAGAGGTCTGGATTGGGAACCCACAGAAGGCTGCTGGGGCTTCTAGGTCCTGGGTTAGGCTGAGCTGCTATGAACCAAACTGATTGGTAGGAGTTCCTGTCTGTAACACAAAACTAGATTTGTCCTGGGTTGTGATCCCTTTGGGGAAATGCCCTTGGAAACTTGCAGAGGTTGGAACTTGCAGATTCAAAGGAAATCCAGGTAGCTTGCATCTTTGAAATGAGATTTAATGGCCTGTCCCTCAAGCAAGCACATGGGCACTGCTTCTAGTTTCATCCTGGTATCAACAGAGAGAAGTAATTGAGCTGTAACTTTAACATACATCTGTAGGAATGAGATCTTCAGGTGTTCCTGGTGCTTTAATTTCTGATTCTGGGATTAATTCTCAGCTCAGTGTTAGCTGCTGCTTCAGCTTTGTATCCCCTTCTGTTATCCATGGGAAAACATTCCAGTTCAGTTTTTCATGTAGGTAGTTTAGGTCCCTCTTTGCCTTTGACAAGGAGGGAAAGGGGGGTGAGGAGATGGAAGAGATGAGCAGAAGTGTTTTATTAGGCTGAGTTGTATTTAGCCTGACTCAGAAGTTAGTCAAAAGTGGTTTCTTGCAAGAATTGCCAGAAATTTCAGTTCTCCTCCTCCTGTCCGTAGCTCCCAGCTGTGTGCTTCATCTGACATGACCTTCCAGTGCAAACTGCTCCTGTTGTTGCTCCTACCCCAGAGGTGGGAAGCTGTACTCAGCCACGATGAGGAGTGAAGTTCCCCATTAGGCTCAGCCTCCTGGAGACTTCAGCCAAGCTGCTTTACAGGAGGTGTGTGAGGTGTGCACAGTCACTTTGCTTTCAGATAACCTTAAAGCTGCTTTTATAGCGTGTTAGGGTTTTAATTTCCTGGAAGGGCTTTTTCTTAGTTTTTTTCTTTTTCTTTTTTTCCTCCTCTGCCTCTTATTGCAGATAGAAAGCTGCCGTGGGTAAGGAACGTGCAGCTTTCCACTGAGCAGCTGCAACCTTTGCATTCCCAGGTGTGGAGAGAGGTGCTTTAAAAGGAGAAAAAGAATAATCTCTCTGCCTTGACTTGCTCAGCACTGGGACTCCCTGCTGAGCCCAGCAGCCAGGAGGCCAGGTGGAACAAAGGATGCTCACACACTCCAGGTGGTCGCTCCCCCCTGACAGCCCACCAGGTGCTCGCTGTGTTCAGGGACTCCATCCCATGGCAGAAGGACAATTAATTTCATGTGGGGCATTAAACACCTCGCAGTCGTCACTGGTATTTATAGGCAAGAGGCTGAGTCCCATTTACCCAACCTGTAAGCTCAGTGTGGGACGTTAACAGCAAATGTACTTTTTTTTTTTTTTTTTTTGATGTTTTTTCCCAGTTTTGGCTATGGCTGTGTCCTACAGGAGATGTGGGGCAGACTCCCACTGTGGACTCAGAGCAGTAGGAAGGTGGCACTTGCATTGTGGAAATACAAAGCTGAGCTCACCTGGCCGTCATCTGCTTACACTGATGTAAAAAGGACAAAAAATAATAAAGGCCATCAGTAATTCATCCCAGAGAGGAACTTTGGCCTGAAACTTCTAATGCTCTTCATTTCTTGGCTTCATAGCGCTCAGCTTTTTGGCTTGAATGACAGAGGTGGAGCTTTCCTTTCAGATGGAGGATGGGATCTCAATCTCCCATTCCTTACTGGTCAGAACTCTCATCTCTTCAGCAGTGTTTTTATTGCTTTTCTCTGCTTTGTGATTTTCTTTGATTTAAAGAAAGAAGAGGTTGGAGGCAAGGATTTCAGCAGGTGCACTCCATGCTGTTTCCAGCAGGTCAGTTGGATATTGAATAAATGCCTGTGCTATCTGTGGCAGTTTAAGGATGGTCAGCAAGCACTTAATGATAAAAGCCTGTGAAATGTCTGTATGTATAAACCTTCACAGCACTCACCTGTAGTGCAGTTCAGAATCATGAGCTGTGCTGGGCTCAGCGTGGCACTGCTGCAGCCTCAGCCCTGTGCCCTGCATGAGGAGCACATGGATGGAAGGACCCCGTGGGACATCAGCAGCCTCCAGCAGTACTGAGGTGCCCAGGAAAACATGTTGAAGTTCCAGATCTCACTTCACTTCAAGCACTTACTTGAAGGACCTTTATTCTTGGTTGTTGTTTCTAGGAATGATTGCATTTTGGCCTGGAGCAAAGCTCCTAACGCTTGCATGTTTTTCTTATTTTGTCACATTGAATGGAGAGATCTGGGTTTAACAAAATATATTGAAGACTTTTATTTTTTTTGGAGGATTCTCTCAGTACTGCCAAGCCTTGGGCCAAACCCCTGTCTGCCTGCAGGTGGAAAGCTGGTGGGTCCCAACAGCAGTGTGCTGTTGGAGCATCCCTTGCACTGTGCTCAAGGCGCTCTCTGGCTCAGCTCCTCCCCTCCTTTCTCAGTCTTCCATTCCCTTCATCAGAGTTTTAATTTAGTTTTGAGTACCTGTGTTTGATATTGAGAAGGAAGCTTAAGACTGAAGCTGCTGCAGAGGGTCTGTGTGGGCGCTTGGAGAGGTGGAAGACTGCAAACCCTTTGTTGCTCACAGTGAGACCATAATGCAGAGCACTGGTTTAGATACATTGCTGATTGTTCTTTGCTTGTGGAATTGCAGGGCTAGTATCCAGCTCCTAGAAGATACACATTGAAGATTGTTTCAACGTGGTAGCAGCTTCAGATACCTTGCTACATGAATGGGCAGCAGGACAGGTTGGCCTGTGGTTGTGTTGGGCTCATAGAATCACAGAATGGTTGGGGTGGATGGGACCCTAAAGGTAGTCAAGATCCACCCCATGCCATGGGCTGCCCCCCAGCTCAGGCTGCCCAACACACATCCACAGGGACCTGCAGGGATGGCACCCACAGCTCTGGGGAGCAGTGCCAGGGTCTCACCATGTCTGAGTAAGAAGTTTCCTGTTGCTGCTTTGCAACCATTAGTTGTGGATGCTTGGATTGGGTTGCAGGCAGCATTGTGAACAATGTGACAGGCTTCTCCTGCTATATGTGACATAGAGGATGCATAAGACAATGCTGGAAATACCAGGATGCTGCTAGTAATTGAGGTTACACACCCATAGAAATAGGCTGTATATTTTTATCTGTAGTTCTTTTGAGTTAAAGGACAAAGAGGGAGAGAAATGAATACAGACAAAGTGTGGTTTTGGTCTGTTTAGAAGGAATGAATGTTGTAAAGTTTCAGAGAAATAATCAGTTTCGGGTTTTTATTCCCTGGTGTTTCCAGCATGAGCAGAAAAGCCTCCCGTTGAGCTGGGCTTTCAAGAGGAACTTGTTGACTGACCCATGGAACTCACTGTCACGAGGTCTATTGTTAGTCAAGACTTCAACAGGTTTGCAATAAAAAAACTTTTTTTGGAAAGCAAAGAAAAGGTGAAATGCAAGGAATGAGCATTTCTTTAGCTGGTGCTGTTGAAGAGCTTCTGCAGGCTTTTATTAAGCATTTATCCACTGCAGGGCTCCCGCTCTCTCTGGATCGTGCTCCCATTGCTTTCTACAGGCCCCTGTTCAGCAAAAGTGTAAACATATGTTGAATTACATCGATTTCAACCTCGTGGGTTGTTCATAAAGTGTGATGCTTTTGGGGCCAATGCAGTTATTCCTTCCCCTTAGGGCAGTGCTCTCATTTACCTTGGTTTGGTTGCCTTCCTGGCAGGCAGAGCAATTCTTGCTCTCAGTTGATTTGGTTTATCTAATATTCGGCCACGGAAGCTGTTTGCTGTGCTGGTGGAAGTGCACAGCACTGCAGTCAACAAATACTGTAGGCTTCACCCTGCCAGGTGCCTGTGGCTGAGCATTGAGAGCCTGCAGCTGCTGGTAGGGAGCCCACCTTCGCTTTCCTTCTGGTGCTGAGTTTGCTGAAAGAACCCTTTAATGGCACTGATGTGGTCTTCTAAGGACACTCAGTGAAGAATGAGAGGAATAAAGGTTGAAAAAGAGCAGTGCGCAGCGCTTTGCTCCCCCTGCCCAAGATGTCTCACCTAGCAGCAATTTTATGTTTGCCCTATCATGAGTCCTCTCAACCCCACTCCAACCCATGTGCACCTTGTCAGAGCTTTCAGCACAAAGAAAGTGGTCCAGGAAGCAGCATGGAGGATGCTGACTTTGAATGGTGGTTGGGGAGCTATGGTGCTTCTGCCTGCGTGGTGCCCCTGCCCCCCCAGCTCTGCCTGGCAGCACCCAGGGGAGGTTGGCATTGCGTTTGGAGCTTGCAGAAGGTTTTCACCAGGTCAGCAGAGGTCTGCAGGATATCAGTCTCCATGAGCAGTGTGAAGCAAGGTGCTGATACCAGCACGCTGCTCTGGCTTGCACAGCTGTTTTCTGCTTTGAATTCTGGGCTCTACTGTAGGCTAAAATAACTTCAGTCGGCTGTAAATCAGTCCTACCTGCTCCTCCAGTCTGCTTGGACAGAGCTTTCGATGGTACTTACGATGCTTTTCATAACTGTCTGGCCTCTGGAAGGAAAACAATACACAGAATCCTTAACAGCAGGTTGATTTACTCGTTTTAGTGGATGTGCCAGTGAATTGTTATCAGCCCTGGTTGCCTGGGGAGCTGCTGGTTTGTCGTGTCGGGAGCCTTTCTGCAAGTACACGGTGTTCATACTTGGATTCTGTCAGCTCAGGTCTGAGATATCTGTGGGATGAAAGTACTGGCAGGGGAGCTTGGAAATATTTGGAAAGGAGAAAAAAATGTCTTTGCACGGATACTCCTGTGTTATCTGTGAGTGAGCTCTATGTCTGCAGAGATCTCACTGTGCTTTAACCATGTAATTGTTTTAGTCTGGAATTGCACTTAGCCTGCTTCACCCTTGTGTTTACTCTGGCTGTTACCTCTGAAATGACACCGCGAATCCTGCTCCTGTGCTGCTGCTTCCTGCTGGAAGAGTGATCTTCAGTGAGCAGTGCTGCCTACAGAGCTTATTCCTTGCAGGGTTACCACCTGCAGGCTCCAGGCTGTGCCACAGCAGCTCGCCCATCCAGCTCCCCAGCAGCTCTCCCATGGCACTGTGAAGAGCTCTGCCAGAGATCCGAGTGCAAGATTGGGCAGTGTTTTGTTTGACATGCGAAGTGTTGACATATGGTCCTATAAATGTAGTTATTGGTAAAGCTAAAGATAATATTTACCTTGAAATATCCATCGTTGGGGAATAAATGGCCGCATCTGCAGCTGAGGCGAGTCAGAATGAGTGCACTGCTTTCAGCTGAGCTGCCCCAGTTTTTGCCATGCCAGGATCCGGCCAAGCCAGTCAGGTAGGTGTGTTGGCAACCCAAGTGGAAATACATAGGGAGAGCTTCTTCGGGGAGACATTTAGTGGTCGTTAGCCACTGCGTGTTTTAATGACGCCTGTGACCCTTTTCTTTCTTCTCCCTTCCCCTTCTCCTCCCTCTTTCTCCAGGGTTCAATGCCATGGCTGCGGATGAAAGTGCTACAGAAAAGCAAGTGGGGGAACCAAAAATGGCTGTAGATGGTGAAACCAACGGTTCCTGTGAGCACGGCGAGGCTGGGAGCCACCCAAACCCAGCGAAAAACACTCAGGACAATACGAAAGTGAGCCAGCAGGACTCTAGTACTAAATTAAATAGGATAGCAGAAAATGGCATTTCTGAACGAGACGGTGAGACTGGGAAGCAAAACCATATGAAAGCTAATGACTTCACACAGACTTCTCTAACAGGGAGCAATGGATATATTCTAACCAAGCAGATGGCGCAGGAGCAACCTCTAAGGACTACCAGCACCTTTGCTTCTCTCACTGGCCATGCTGCAAAAACCCTTCCAGGAGGAGCAAGCAAAGGGAGAACTGTGGGCACCTTTTCTCAGATGCAAGCCACGATGCCAACCAAGCTCGGGGAGGGCAGTAAGGACATGGATGCTAAAAAAGCCACTGCTGCTAATGCTGAAGTCAAGGTCCACAGAGCACGGAAGACAATGCCTAAACCCACCCCTAGCCTGGTAACGTATAATAGACCTATGCTAGGTCTTGGCTTTCTCTGGATGTATGGGAGGGACACTTTGTTGCACAGGGTTGGATGTATTTCAGTGATGTCCCATTAAGCAGGCTGATTTTTATTCTTTTTTGATGTTTTTCTCTTCTTCCAGAGAGACAGAGGTGTTCAAACAGTCACGTGGCCACAATCAGCTCTCTTCCCCCATGTGTTTCTAAATATATAATTGATCAATTGCCTTCTAAGGCAGATCTATCAGACACTAAATGGCCTTTCTCTCTTGGCTGTATTGCTCATCAGCTGTCTGTTGAAATCCAGAGCTGCTTATGAAACAAATTAGATTTCTTATAAGTTTGACCCAAAGGAAATTAAGCATAGTTTGTTAACTGGAGGCTTCTCCTAAGCTTGAAAGCTGTCAAGAAGCTGATAAGTTAGGCAACTTGATTGCACTGCTGTGTCATTAAACCGGATGATGCTCTCTTACTCTGTACATGCTGCCTACACTAATGCAGCTTGTTCAGAAATCTTTCTCACAGAATCCTTCGGTGTGGATAATCTTATCACTTATTTAAAAAGTGATCTGTTTTTGTTTAGGAAGTAAAAAGAGATTTGAAGTCATCTTGTGACCCCAGGTAATAGTGGGAGTGAGCAGAAATGGGCCTTTCTTTGTCATAAACGTGGACCAAGTTTAGGTTCTTTTGCCAAAGATGGGGAATTAGATACTGGGAACAGTCAGATCTGCACCACGAGCACTTGATCTCCAACCCTGTGACACTTTATATTTAGCTCTGATGAGCTAGATCCTTCCATCGTGCTGCGTCTAACGATGGAGAGGGACCATCCTGTACCCAGGTTGAGGTACACAGATTGCTGCGAGCCCTGCTTGGCAGTGGGAGTGACACCCAGAAATAAATGGGAAGCTGCTGCAGCTCTGTAAGTGCTGGCGTAATGGATTGCTGCTAGCTACCAGCATTTTGTGGACAAGCAAATGCCAGATGATCCTCAGATGTCACCTACATGTTGCAGCGTGGCAACAGTATGATGTAAAGGTCTCAAAGCTGTAAATTGCTGTGGTCTGGAGCAGGGGAAGGGGAAAAAAAAAAAAAAAAAAAGAGAAATGATTGGTGGCACATAGCCAGCCACAGATGGGGAAAGGTGCCCTTGGTGCTGCAGCACCTGTGACTCCGGAAGCAGGTGGGAGTCCGAACACATGGAGCCTGCAAACCTTGTGGCGTGCAGCCTGCAGAGCAGGGCAGAAACCACAGGGGCCACGATTTCCCAACCATTCTCCCAAACCACTAATTTCCCCTCTGCCTTCCCCTGATTGCATTTGAATTCTCTGGCTCTCGCCCCCCTGCTGAGTTTTTTGGCTGGCAGCTGGGGAGGCCCAGATGCAGCACAGGCAGCCTGATGGAAGTCTCACGGAAGGCTTTCTTACCCAAACAAGGCTTTGCAGCTGAAACCTTGCAGCTTTCCTCCAGCAGCCTGCAGTGCACTTAAATTAGGCAGGGCAAACCCCGACCCTGGTGGAATTTGACAGGGAGAGACCCCCTTGGGGCTGAGCAATTGAAAGAGGCAATTCCCTTCTAAAAAACAACTGCTACGTTAGGAAGGAGTATTTTCATCATTCATATTTGATGATACATCAGAAGGATTTTTTATACAACCCCTTGGGCTTTTGGGCTTGTCTCTGTAAAACTGCTTGCAACGTTGGGGTGTTTGCATTGCCACGCTATGGGAGTGCTGTAATTGCACTGCTGATCACCCTTAGTTGGTGCAACAGCAGTGGATTCAAAAGGCAAAGCTTGCAATTGTGTTTGGCCACTCTTCCTCTGGAGTGCAGCCCTTTTCCTTGGGTTGGAAATGGGGAGAGGAACAGAATTCACAAGGTGGTAGGAAGAGGCTGTTCTCACATTTCCTACTCAGGGGCTTTGCATCTGAATGCGAGCCCACAGTCCCCAAGATTTGATCTCATTTCTGCAAGACAATAAAGCAGCTGTTTTGTTCAGCCTTCCAGATAATTACTACCTATTTTTCCCCATTGTCTTTCGAATTTACATGCTGTTTTCATTTGAGGAGCAAAGTCTTTGCTACTTGCCATTTTTCTGTCCTGATTATTTCTTTGTTGAGCAGCCTTTAAGAGGCTCCTCAGCACAGCGCATGCAGTCGTGCCTTTTCCCCTTTGAAAGCACTATGGGAGCAGGTGGATGTATTTTAGGAATTGTGGAAATCACCCACAATTTGAGTTACTGGATGCATGGGTTTTCATCATCAATTTTTTAGAGCATCGCTCTTCTCTTGGTAGAATCCTCTTGCATGCATATGCTAAGAGAAGGAAGCGGGGAAGGAAGGTATTCTGTTGCCTGCAATGCATTAACTTTTATTCCTCAGCTCCTGCAGAAACCTTCTGGGGCCAAAAAATTGTTTTCTTCAACCTTACAGTTGTCAGGGGACCTCAGTAGCCTTTTCTGTATGTGCATATTGGTGCCTGAAAGGAAGGAAATGATTTTCTCACATATGTAACCGGCTTTTTCTCTGTTTAGGAATTGCTTCCTGAATTGGGATCGAAGCTGAATCTTAAACAGGTGACAATTTTAATTGATATTGTTGCATGTTAAGTTGGTTTTTGAACAGAGATCTCAGAACAGTTTTGACAGCATTGGTTTTGCTCCCCTTCTGTTGGTGCAGTAGCACAAACTCAGCACCTTTGGAAGAATTTCTTCCATTCTTTCTTAATCTGTTTATAACTCTGTTGGGAAAACAAAGGTTTGCAGGGAAACTTCCAAAAGGGAAGTTTTGTGTGTGTGTGTTTGTGTGTGTGTGTGTTGAGCTCTGAGAGGGCCCCTCCTGCTCAGAAACCCCCATTTCTATGATGCTGAACCTCTCTGAGATGTGTCTGGAAGGGAAGAAGGATCTTGGAAGTGAAAGTGTCCCACAGTTATCCCTTAAGATAGGAGCAGCAGCTGGCTGAGCTGGGACTCCCAGGTTGTTTCCAGTCATTCCGTGGTGACCACGAGGCTGTAACTGGAGCTGTGTGTTTCTGGTGGCAGTTTTGTGCTGTGTGGAGAAACGAGGTCAGAGGCACTGAACCCTCTGTGGAAACAGGGGAATTAATATCTCATTCTGTTTTACAATGTGAGCCCAAAATATGGGAACCCTTTAACTGGGAGGGATAGAGCCTGGGCAGGAAGGAGGAGCCAGGAAGAGAACTCCTTTGCTTATGTTGCTATTTATTTCTGCTGCTGAATGCTCTGTCCCAGCACCGGGAGCTGCTTGCTTTCTGTGTACACACAGGTGTTGCTGTTGCTGTAAAACATGATGTTCTGTGTCAGTGCCCAGCAGTGATGTGGGCTACATTGCAGGAGCTCTTCATTGCCTCAACACTTCTCAGGGCCAGGCAGGTGGCTGTTGGTGGTTTGCAAGAGTCTGGGGCTGCTCAGTGAGATGAAACCCTGTAATATGCAAAAAAAAAAAAAACACCAAAAACCAAAACCCTTAAAAGGCAAATTCTAATGGAGGTAGTGATGGGGGTGTTATCTTCTGGATGGAAAAAATCATCAAAAGAAAAGTGAAAGAGCTTTCCATCTGATTTGGAGAGCTGCAGTTGGTTCTTCTGACCCTGCAAGGTACATCCTTTGAAGACCCTCTCCAGAGGGATGCTCAGGTATGCACGTGTGGTCTGGAAGTGTGAGGTCTGTGTTTGTGTCATCTTGGCCATGGTTAAATATCCTGTGTGGGCACCCTCCCTTAGGACTGAAGAGCCTTTGGCATAGGACATCTTCCATTTGAGGTGGGTATGTGACCACACAGACATTGGTGCCGTTGCAGTCATTCAAACAGGGCCAAGCTTCTGGTGGCCTGCTGATGGGCCAGCAGGTGGATGGGTCACTTGTGGAGCTGGACTCATTACACAGCCTTGCCAAGACTGTGGTGAGGGTCCCCAGGGAGCTGCTTGAGATTCTATACTGAACTGTAATTCTGCAACAACAGCAGAAGTGATGGAGAGCTGCGCTGCCATGGCTCAGACAGGCAGTGAGATCTGCTGGGGATCTGGTTTTCATAGCAGACCACTATTTCTTGCTTAAGTATCATTGCCCAGTTGTTGGAGCCTCTGGCACATTCACACTTTGCCATGTCCAGAGGTACACACCCTGTTAGCACTACCAGCCAGCTGCAGATGGACACCAGCCTTGCTCCCTGGCAGCCTTGCTGCAGCGGTGCTTTGTGTTACTCCTCTAGCTGTTGGGCTTCATTTGCAAGCTCATGCTGTGCTGGAGATAAAAATCCTGAGAACAAGGAAGATAAGATGGCTGACATGGCCGAGCTGATGCTGGGAGTGCTGTGCAAGCAGCAGCTCTGCTGGGAAGCAGCACATGCTGGAGCCTTTGCTCAGCACATGGCTGTGCTTCCAGCATCACTCTTCTTCTTGCCAGCTCATCTGCTTTGGTAATGAAAGAGCTCTTAATTGTGGGGCTGTGGGAAGAACACTGTGCGTTCTGCCGAACCGACACGGCGTTTAATTAGTAAGGTTTATTTGTTCTTTATCTTTGCTTCTGGGAAAAAATAGTGGGATAGTCTGTCTTTGCCATTTTTAGTAACTTCTCCCTGCTGCTGTAGGGGATTTCTGTGCCAGTAATAGAAACAGGGTTGATCCCATTACATTGTAGTAAGTATGTGAATATGATTTTCTTAAACACATAAAAGGATGTTATCTTGTGCCAATTTAAGGAGCATGAATGCATTGAACGTGTTTGTGGTTCAGTTTTTTCCATTTCCATACACAGATGTCTCTGGACACTGCCCTAAGCCTTTCAGTAGATGCTTTCGTTTTCTTGCCCATTCCTTGCAATGCCCAGCACAAAGCAGGAACTTCACAACCTGTCATATAGCATTGGCTGACACCATGTGAGAAGCTGCAAAACCAAAGCCATTAGTAATGCAGTTTGTGTGTGATCAGTTTTGATTGTTTTTTGGTTGATGGTGGCTCAGGCAACCTTGGGACCACAGAGCTCAGACTGGCCTGGAGCTGTCTTTGCGTGGGGTTCTCCTCACTGTCCTCTAGACTGTGATTTGCAGCTGAAAACAGAACTTGCTGGACTGTTAAAATCTATGTATGATTGGGGAAAAAAAAAAAGACCCCCCAGGTGTATCAGGCAGAGCAGTGGGATAAATATAATGTCAGTAATCATGCTTCTTGCTTGGAATGTTGATGTTTGCAGTGGAGCCCGTGTAGGTGTTACATGAAGGCGCTCCTGTTCCCTTGCATTTTTTGGTTTAAGTGAAAGCAGATGATGCAGTTTCTGAGTGCAGCAGTTTATTTAACTGAAACTGCATGTGGAAGTGTGTGCACACTTGGGTTCTCAGCAGGCCACCTCCTGGAAAGCCAGGCGTTGCCTTCCTGGCATGGTTGCTTCTGGTGCAAGCTGCAGCGTTGCATTTTCCACCCAAAGCAGAGAGACATGAAGAGGAGGAGCCTGGATCTTCAGGAATTGAAGCAGGAATGTGATAGAATTTGTCACAGCAAATTGGTGATGAGCTCTGTGGGGCTTATTGTGGTGTCTGCTGTTGGCAGCCCCTTTGTTTGCACGCTGTATGCCTCTCACCTCCCCTGCCAACCTGGGCAAGGGCAAGGGAGCTGGAAGGTAGGAGTCAGGGGTTGGCGTGGGTGACTGCTGGGCTGCAGGAGTTGTATTGAAGCCTGCTTGCATAAGGAGCAGGAAGGGTGAAGGGAACCCATCCATCACGAAAGTGGAAAGCAGCAGCAGGTGATAGAAGCACTAAATGCAGTCAGATGTGATCAGGTAGCAGACCATGGAGGTGGTACTGGGTCTTGCCAGCTCCAGGCTCATACAGAGCAAGGCAGAGCAGTGTCTGCCAGGACCCCTGTTCTGCAGGGAAATCCTCTGTCTGACATTTGCCTTCGACAGCTTTCTCTCCAGCACTAAACTTGCTGGAGTTTTGCATTTGGAGATGCCCTCTGGTTGTGCTGGGGGCTTGCAGGCACACCTGTGAGCTTTATTGTTCTGTAATATTTTGTTTCTGTTTTGCTTTGATAGGAGTCTGTAGTGCTCCCAAGAGCTCTGTATCCATCTACCCAGTCCCAGATGCTTGGTCCTCCCTTTGCCTTTCCCTTTAAGTTGCAGCTGCCTGCTCTGCTCTGCTGGGGGGGGCTGGTTGGATGTAACCTGGGAATGAGGACTGTGGGACATCTGTGCATGTGCCTGAGCCAGCTCTTCACCAGCCTGATGGGATTTGAAGGAAGAAGAGATTTCCCAGCAGAGCAGTGAGCTAGATTAGCAAAGCCTCTTTTCTGGGAGCGCTTAAATCTGGAACCGAGGGAGCAGAGCAGTGCAGGAGCTCAGTGTGAGGGACCAGGAGGGACCGACCTACAGACTGGGGCTGAGGAACCAACAGAATTCAGAGACCTTAGAAACAGGAAAAGAAAAAAATGGAATCCACTAAGCACTCGTAATACTCTCGGTGGAAGGTTAACATTTAATGAGAACAGCGAAGATGTAACTGTTTCAGCTCGTGGGGAATGAAGAGGGATGGTGGGAAGGCAGAGAAATGCTTCCAGATCTCTGCTGATATTTTTAGCTCCAGTCTTCAGATTTAATGTTTGATTTCTGTAGACATGAAACTTGTATGTAATATGTTTTACTGATGGCCTGTTCAGCTCCATGTGCCATTATCATAGAATCATAGAAATGGCCTGGGTTGAAAAGGACCACAATGCTCATCCAGTTCCAACCCCCTGCTATGTGCAGGGTCACCAACCACCAGATCAGGCTGCCCAGAGCCACATCCAGCCTGGCCTTAAGTGCCTCCTTGAATGCCATTAGACTTCCTGGGAGATCTGGTTGTGTCTCTGCAGAAATTCCTGTTCCTTAGTGTTGCTCCATATGGCTCCACATAACAGCAGACTTTATCTGAGACCACTTGCAAGGACCTGCATGTAAAGGACAGAGCCCTTATTTATGCACGCTTGTTCAGCTGCAGGCAGCTCTATGTCAGATCTGCTGCTCCTGTGCTCATCCTCCTAATTTTGAGTTAAATCCGGAAAGCAGTGGATGTCCCAGGAGACCTGGGAATTCTCAGAATAATCCTGTATCCGAGAGTTAACCTTTATATCTGTAAACTATGAAGAGGTATAAATAGTATTGTTGAGGCTATTATTGGCATGCTGTGCCCAGCACTCCTGACGTACTTGTTCTAAGTGGGAGAACAACTGGAGCAGACTCAGGAGTGATCCCATATCCAGAAGATGATCCTATGGGCACTTAATTTGCTCATTCTATTAAGCTTATCGAAGAGAAAGTTTTAAAAACTTCTACTTAAGCACAGTCTGTAAGTACTGGGGATGAGAGTTTCTGATGATACAGGGCTTTTTAATTTAGTGGGAAAAGCGTAATGCATTTAATTATCTGACAGAGAGAGCAATTAAGCATTGGAACAACATATCAAAGGGTATGGTAGATTTGTCATCTTTGACATCATTAATCCACAACTAGATGCCTTGCAGGAAGAGATGCGCTAATTCAGCCAGAAGATATGGGCTTGATGTGGGAATCATTGGAAATGTGATGGCCTCTTTATGCAGGTCATTTTGGATTATCATTATGGCTTTTCTGGCTGTGACCAACCCCTCGCTTTCTGCCAGCAGTGTGCACATGGCAGAGCTGTAATTAGGAGAATCAGTCACTTCCCCGTTTGTTCACAAGGTCACATATCACTTGAAAGCAGCGTCTAACAGAGCCCGTATGAACCCAGACTTTAAAGAGTATCTTGATTTTTTGCTGCTTTTTTTCTTCCTTCCTTTTGCCTGCATTCCTTTTTCTGTTTTGGTATTTCAGCAGCTGCTTCAAACATCCCATAAGAAGTGGTGGAGCAGCACATTGCCACCGCAGAGCTTTAATCCACTACCAGTGCTCTTGGATTTCTGGAGCATCTCTTCCAAACCTGCTTGCCAGTTGATGGACAGGTGTATGGAGAGTCGTGGACAGGGCTAGGCCTTCTGTTAAACACAAAAGAAGGCACACCCAATGTCAAATGGCAGATTGGAGTGGCACCATTTACCCAATCTCTGCTATGACAGCATAGCAGTGCACATGCAGCTGCAGCAGTCATTGCATGACTGAAGGTGCAGGGTGAGGTGTGCTCACATCAGAGCATGTTAAGCTGTGTTGGAGCCTGGGAGCCTGTCTGCAGGCACAGAGCACCTAAGTGACTGTAAAATTCTCTTGAGCCTTTTCAGTAGGGGTTTATCACCCCTACTAGATCAGCTAGAGCTAGCTGATCTAGAGTAAGCTTTGCCACATCTTGCTAGGACAGTGGCAGTGCTGGAGGTGAACCTGCAGTGTCAGGCAAATAACCTCCTTGGCTGTGAGCTGGGCTAGCAGGTGGGAGAGCACAAGCTTTGCTGAGTCCTTATGGGGCCAGAAGGATCCCTTCCCACTGCTGCCCACCCCTCGGAGTCCTCTGTGCAAGGCTCTGTTCCCTGTCTGCTGGGAGGTGACAGCTGCAGTCCAGATGTGTTTCAGTGAATAGGTGTATTTGTTGGCTTTGTTCATCTTCTTGGGAGCCAACCTAATGCCTGCGTAAATAGTGTCTGATGCTTTTCAATATCTGCACTTGCTTTGCAGAGCTCTGCCATCCCTGCTTTGTGTGCAGGCTTTCTCCTTCTCAGGGAGCTGCCCTCGCCAAGTGACCAGCAGCAGGCTGGGTCTGTTTGTAGTCTTTAGGCAAATAAACGTTTGCTATAGAGAAGGGGCAGAGTGCTTTTCCTTTGAGCATCTCTTCCTACCTTCATATGGAAGTGATTCTATTTGACAGAAAGGAATTATATTTATTTTAGTGATTTCTTTGATTTCAGAGGCTCAGTTTAACTTCATTTTGTTTTCCAGCATGCAAGTAAAGACCCCAAAGATGGGAGAGACAGCAGAGATCAAAAAGAACCTAAAGAGGAAGGCAACAAAAACATCCTGGAGTTTGGGAAGCCGTTGCCATTGCCCTCTCTCCCGGGCCTTCACCAGTCACTACCTCAGAACCAGAGCTATGTGGCCACCTCCAAGTCGCAGACGGGTAAGAGAACAGAGCTAAAATCCTTAGTAGCACCCAGCTCCCAAACGTGTGTGTGTGTGACAGGGTCCGTGGGCTGAGGCAGCTTGGCAAGGACTGACCCCTTTGGTACTAGTTTTTCCACAGAGGATTGTAGTATCACAGCATGGTTGGGTTGGAAGGGATCTGAAAGCCTCCCCTCTGTTGGTGCAGTCCAGGATGCAGTCAGCCTTCCAGGCTGCAAGCACACACTGCTGCTCAAGTCCAGTTTGTTGTCTGCCAGGACCCCCAAGTCCTTCTCCACAGGGCTGCTCTCAGTGAGTTCTCCTCCCAGTCCATACTCACATCTGGGGTTGCCCCAACCCAAGTGCAGCACCTTGCAGCGGAATCTGCTTTAGGATTTCCTTGCCTGGCAGCATCAGTAGGGCTGTTGCTGTAGATCTTGTTTTGACAGATGCTGCTTACTGTGAGCCACAGTTGTGTAAATAAAATGATTTGGCTTGGCAGAAAGTTTTTGAGGGGACTTTTTCTAGATTTTTGATGAAACTTTGTCATAGTGAGATGTGAAGAGAAGCTTTCAAGGAGCAGCCTGTACAGCTGCTGGTGCTGCAGCTGGCTGTTTCCTGCTGCATGCTGTTGTTAAAAGCCTGCACTAAGCACACTTCTGATGTGTGTGCACCAAAGGCAGCAGCAGGCACTGAGGTGTGAGAACTGGTTTGATTAGAAGGCCGGGAGGGAGCCTCAACAAATTAAGACCCAATCAAAGCGGTGAAAGGAATCAAGCAAGCTTCCATAGCAGGTGTGAAATGAGGTTAAATGGCAAACAGCTCCTTATTTAAAGTACCTTTTCTCTGTTTGTTCTTTAGTTATTATATGATGGCTTTATTGTAAGTCGGTATTATTAACCTTGCAGTATCTATTTGAGCAAGCTGGATTCTATTCAGCCTCCTGTGGCATTAGCAATGCTGCCAAGCACAGGCTAATTTAAGGATTTGATGCTATGTATATGGTGATACAGGGACAGAGGAAACATAGAGGGGATACTCAGAATTTGGGCAATTTTGCAGCTTTGGCAAAAAGCTCTTTGTGTGTTTGCATGTATGTACGTGTCACCTTTTGGCTGAATTGTAAATAAATTAGTTGGAATGGGAAGCCTTTTTTCTCAGATCATGTCCTTAAATACAGTTTCCTGCATTACAGTCTCTACTCTCTGTCCTTTCTTTTTACTCCTGAACCAACTTTGGCTTTACTTATTATTTTTTTTTTCAGCTGCTGCAGTATCTCGAAAGAAAAAACGGAGAATGGGAACCTATAGCCTGGTTCCCAAGAAAAAGACCAAAGTGTTAAAACAGAGAACAATGATTGAGATGTTTAAGAGCATAACTCATTCCTCTGCGGGTGCCAAGGTGAGGGCTGCACTGAGTCGGCCGGGCATGTTTGCTATCACCATATATGCACCTTGTCCTGCTACACCAGCCCCATGGGTAGTGTAGGAACACTGTTGCTGTCAGCATCTTCTGTTCTGAGTCTACATCTTCTCTCTGGCAACAACATCCTGCCCACAGCAGCCTTGCTGCTTTGAAAATGGCTTTTTGAGGGTGGATGTTCAGATAGCAGCTCTTGTAACGTTTTCCAGTGGATGTTTCTCTTCTGTCCTGTGAGTGCTGTGGGACTGGAGAGTTTTCAAGCATACTGCAGTGTGATAACGTCTTTGTTGTGGAGTCCTTAGGGTTACTGTCTAGTGTCGTTTGAGGCTGTAAGGGAAAACAACCAGTGACTTAAAAACAAACTGCAGGCTGGGTTTCACTCCTGATCAGGTTCTGCTTTTGCTGCAGTCTGGGCCCTAAAGTTTTGGCCTTTGAATTCAAGTGAATTCAAAGCGCTAGGCATCAGTGGAGTGGAGTAAAAATCCCCAGCCTGATTTAACTTTCCTTTATTTAGAAACCTTCTTTGCACCCTTGGTATTCCATGGGGAGATGCCCTTTCAGTTAGTCTGCATGATCTGGCTGAAAGCTGCTGTCCAGCAGCCCTCCCCTTAGTGCCTTGAGTCCAGAATGACTCCTTGTTCCCCAGACTGGCAGGGTTAGGTGACACATGGCAGGCACCTGCACTGCCTATGCTGGCAGTGTTGGAGGGCTCTGGAGGGACATCCAGCTAGCTCTCCCTTGGCAGCTTTAACACAGGCGGTCTGGGATGGGTTCAGCTGCTCTGAGCTGTGAACTGATGTTGTCTTTGTGGCACGTGTGCTTGGACAACTTCCAGAGTGAAAAGGAGCTAGGTGATGTCAGCCCTCACGTGAATGGGGAGAGCATAGATGTAGACTCTGAAGAGGAAGACTCTGATGAGTTGGAAGATGAGGACGATCACGGAGCAGAACAGGCAGCTGCATTTCCTGCAGACGATAACAGGACCTCTAAAGACAGCGCGTCTGACGCAGACAATGTCAGAAAGGTATTCACATGCCCCGTGCAGGACTTAGAGTGGGATGGGACACTGCTGATCCCTGTCAGACAGGAGTGGAATCAGTTGAGGCAATTTCTAGGCATTTTTTAGCATGCAAGATGGCAGAAAGCTCAGTGGTGGAAGTGAGGCTTTTGATGACCACTTCCTGCTTCCTTTTCCCCTCCCCCATGAGAGTCTCCTCACCTACCCTCCTGTTTCAGCCTTGCTACATAACTCTCTGTGATCCAGTGCAGGACTTCCATCACAGTTAGGTATTCACTGCACCAGCAGGAGATGTCTTCCTAATCTTGTTACAGGCTGGTAAAGAATTCAAATTGTTTTAGTTAACTTACCCCAAATCACAGTGCATATTGTAGGTATGAGGTTGTTTCTTATTAACCACAGAAATTAACGTTTGGTTGGAAAACTTTCTTTGGGTGTTATCCTGTCCCATCCTCATGGGTGAACCATGAAGTGCGTTAACAGCCTTGGAGTGCTTGTCCTGGAGAGGAGATGGTGTTAGTGCTCACATGGCTGGGGCTGAGTGCAGCACGGTGATGGGATGCTCAGGCAGGGTGTGGAGGGGTGCCGTGCTTGGAGGGACCTGACAGGACTGACTCTTTCTGTTCTGGGGCACATGGTGGCTGCAGATTGATGATGGCGACTCTGAGGAGGAACAAGAGTCTGCAGAGTCTGGAGAGGATGAGGAGGATGGAGATGAATCTGACTTGGTAAGCCTGGCTGCTAAATGCAGCTTTCAACCGTTGTCCTGCTGGTAATGCTTTCCCCTTTGCTTTGCTGCTGGAAGGAGACAAGCAGTGTAGTTTTAGGACTCTGACAAAACTCGCTGGCTGAATCCATCCATACAGTGTATTGTTTTCCGCAAGGTGCATAACAGTGATACACTTAATTACTTTCCGATGCTAATTAATGGGCTATTTTTCTTGTTTTCAACAAGGTGTTGACTGCTTTTAATCATTTGAATGTTAGTAAAACTATTTAAGCGTGCTTAAATTCATTGGGTGCTGATTTGGCAAGTGGTGGGAGCCAGCAGTGTTTTCGTAACAACCTGAAGCTCAGCTTGCCTCCACAGCAAGTCCAGGTGGAGATGTTCACAAATCCACTGGGCCAACCCACTGCCTAAATTCACCTTGTCTGTCAGGCATATGTACAAACAGCATACAGAAAGGCAGTCACTCTCCCTAGGAGTGTGGCTGGTAGTCCTAAGGCAAGATTTTCACCAGCTGTTTGGTGATTTTTGACTTCTTATTTTTTAGATGGCTGGTGAAGCGAACTTGAAAGTTATTATTTTTTAAATTGCTATTCATTGACTGTCTGTGTCTCCCCACCCTCCCCTTTACTTTAAAAATGTTGCTCCCTTTTCACAGCATCTCAAGTTGAGGAGCCAGCATTTAAAGCACCCCAATTCTTCAGTCACCTTGAGAAAATTCTTGACTTCATTGTCTCGATGTTTTGAGCTGAAGGTAGAAGCAACTATACCAAATGAATTGTTGAAGCTCTGTAGAATCTCATTCCCTTGTTCTCTGACACTACAAGAGCCAGAGAGGACTAGGCAGGAGGGGCTATATAACCCTTTCACTGGGCAGCTTGAGGCACTTTTGTAGTGCTAGATCAAACTAAGGGTTGAGCTTGCAGTCAAGTCCAAACAGCCCAGTCATATCTAGATGTCCTAGACTGATTTTTGCTGTGCTTATATGTGGTGATTCAGCCTGCAGCCCAGATGGAGGCTGGCTCAGATGCAAACCTCTCACCCACCAGCAGAGTGATGCAACTGGTGGAAGCCACGTGGCGAAGCACAGCCATACACTTGGGCACAGTGATTGCTGGGGCAGTGTAGACAGCACTGCAGAGCTGCCTGGGGAGCCAGGGCTCAGCACCACCTTGATCCTGCTGCATACTGTGTTAACAGGGCATGGTGCAGCATCAGTTTGCTGTTAAGGTAGGCCCTGATCCAGCCTCTGCTGAAGGCAGCAGGAGCTTTTTTTGTAGGCTTCAGTGAGAGATGGAGTGAGTTTTTGTTTGAACATGAATTTTCTGTTTGGAGCTTCGAACGTTGTGTTGGAGTTTCTGGTTCCCCATTTTAATGCTGACTTTGAAAAGTCATCTGTATTTTCTGCATATTAAACAGAAAGGAAACCTAAACTCTGTTTAGATTCATAGATGCCTGAAGATTGCTGTGTGATTAGGTTGTGCTGATGTGACACTTGCTCAGGGAGGGAGCTGGTCTCTGCTGTGCAGTTAAATTCCCCAGGGTCCATCCCAGCCCTGTTACGCTGGCTCTTCAGGTATAAGAGAGACTTTTTTTCTAGCATGACTGTGGAGCAATATGAATATTTTAGTTTGAAAAAAAGAAATAAAAGCCACTTTTCTGGGGAGAAGCTAAAAGTGTGCTTGTATACACGCCCTGCTGTGCAGAGATGCTCAGCTACTCCTGAGATGAGTGTGGTGTTAGAGCCTACGTGGAAGAGAAGGTAAAGTGAGCACTTTTGAGATGACAGGAAATACGCCCACACGTGTGCTGGTGTTTCCTTTTCTGCACTGTAAAGGCATCTCTGCACCAATTGATTTCAAACCTCAGTCCTTAAGGCCTTTTTACACTTCTCAAGCTGTGTGAAGGCTCTTTCATATGAGTGCAAAGGACTGCTGTGATGCTGATACCAACATGCCTTACATGCACATGGCCTCTCTGGTTGTTCAGAGCTCGGAGTCCAGCATCAAGAAGAAGCTGCTGAAGAGGAAAGGAAAGACAGACAGCCCATGGCTGAAACCCACCCGCAAGAGGAGACGGAGGAATAAAAAGAAACAAGCCAATGTGCTAGGTAACTAATTGAGTTTTGTTCTTTAACTGCACAAAAAATGGTCTGCCAGGTAGGGTAAGGACCTCCGGCCCATGAGGCAGTGTTGCCTGCAGAGCACTTTCTTCCTTTTCAAGGGAAGGTTTACCTTTATGGTAAGATTTACCTCTGTGGTTAACCAAGACCTGAACTTGGATGTCACATACAGCTTGTGTCTGCACTTTAACAGCAAACTAAACGTGAGGCAACTTTATCCTGGGCATGCTGAAGTAATGATTATTGTTCATGAGCTCTCTTTGTTTTAGAACATCCAAAGAAGGCTTCATGGACTGATGATGTAAACTGTGAACTTAAGGAGATTGGCTAGATGGAGAAGGGAAAGGAATAACCATCCCAGAGTGATGCTTGATTGCTTTTGTGTGGGTGTTAGTCCTGCTGAATGCAACGTGCTGGCTGTCCTTGCTATTCCAAAGCACCTCAGCCCATCTCTGGGCCTGAGTTCAGGTGGCCATTCTAGTTTGAGTGAAGTTACACAGCACTCAAAGGTTGCAGTTCATTTTGTCCTCAGAAAGCTGTGGGATGAGGATGGAGGAGGTGCAGGCTGCATCAGATTCCTCATCTTCAGGAGAAGTAACAGGATGAGTTTAAAAGTAAAAAGAGTTGGTAGTCTGTGAAGTTGTGCCTTCTCTTTATTAAGGCTTCACACATCCATTGCCATCAAAGAGTTTATTCTGTTTGCTAATTCCTTATAAACAAGCCATTTTTTATCAGCAGTTGTTGCTGCCTATTTTCTAAATGACCACATTGCAGCCCCTGGGCTGCCCTCAGCGTCTGTCACTCATCTCATTTGCTCCTGTTCCTCCCAAGGCAAACTCTTCCTAAAAGGAAATGGGGGCCATTGATCCCTTTCAGAGCAAATAGCCAATTCTTCATTTGAGATGCAGGCAGTTTTTCTGCCCCTTAAATAAAGGTGGCAGCCAGTCTTTCAGGCTAACACAAGTCTCTTGGCCAAGCCTGACTAGGAGAAGCAAACCAGAATTTGAGAGTAGAAGCCAAGGGAATGTGAAGAGATGACAATTCCCACGAAGGCTCCGAGGGATCCCCCATGCAATCCCTTCCCAGCAGCAGCTTTGTTCTCTCAGAGCCAGAACTTGGCTTTTATGTTTTCCCCTCCCATTCAGCTGAATGTCACCTGTCTCGTCCTCTCCAGAACGTGCATTAGCAGCTGGTTTGCTTTGCCTGGCCAGGGTGTACCTGGAGCCCTTTGCAGCAGGTTGGAGATGGGGGAATGCGCCGAGCCCTGGTTTCAGCCCTTCCTTATGCCATTTGAGCTTCTGCTGATGCTGTACAGCAGGCAGATGTGCCTTTCAGATGCAGAACTTATTTGTCTCATTTATCCCTTTTTTTTTTTTTTTTTTTGTTACCTACCTACGTAGAAGTGGAAAATCTGTCGGATCAGACAAGGGTGGAAATAAGAGATGGGAGATCAATTGTGCCATATCTGCCCAGATGTTACATTTCCATAATTCTGTGTGCATCTGTACTCATAGGCTCTCTGAGGAGCCTGCATGCAGCCATCTTGGTTAAATATGGCCTTTACACATGCACGCACTTTTTTTTTTTTTTTTTTTCAGCTGTGTAAATATACGTGTGTTTGAATCTAGGTGCTGAAGCCTATAAATCATCGTTAGGAGGCAGAGAGGGCTCTGCCCAGGATAACAGCATGGAGTACATGGAGGTGTCTCTGGATTCCTTGGATCTGCGGGTGAAGGGAATCCTCTCCTCGCAGGCGGAAGGTGAGTAGTGCTGGCTCGGCGCGGCCATGACCCACGTTGGCTTTGTTCGCTCAGCCCAAGCAGCGAGCGGAGCCCCGCATGCCCCCTGGTGGCTGCCAGCACCCCGAGCCCAGGCCTGGCCCGGCTAAGAGGCTTCCTGCAAGGCTGGCAGAAGCCAGGGGCCGGAGGTGTGAGGGGGGGCTGAGTGGTTTGGGAACGCTGCTAACGTGGGATGCGTCCATCTGTCTGTCCCGCTCCCCCCGTCTTTGGGCGATGTATGTGTAGCCTCGGAGTGAATCACCTCCCTGCACACACAGCTGGTGCCCTCGTCTCCTCAGGAGCGTGGCAGGGGTCTGGCCTTGGTGGCCAGTGAGGACGGTGGAAGGACAGTGGGTAGGGGTGTCTGGGTGGCCGCTGTTCCCAGTGCTGATCCTTGGCTCCAGCGTGGATCTGTCCGGTTCTCCCCCGTTGCTCTTCTGCCTTCAGAAGTTGTGTGGCTCTTTGATAGAAGCACATCAAAGAACAGGTGGGAGTGTTTACCACCAAGGGAGGGTCGGGATGGATGAGAGATGTTTTCATCAGAGCCTCTGGATGTCAAAAAAGATTATGAAAGTGACAGCTTGGAAGGTGAGGAATGAGCCTTTTGATTTGTGGTCCTAGATAAAGCACTTAAACGTTTAATATCTGGGCTGGATTTTACATGAAAACTGCAAGGGCTTTCCTTCTGCTTGCACCTTGAAACATCTCACCCCTTCTCAGGGCTTGGTCTTGCAACTTAGCCAATGGAAACTCCTTACAAGATGAAAAGAGCTTCTGCTCAGCTGATAGGGTCGCAGCCATAAGGGAGAGTGCTTTTGCCAGGGCAGCTACAGAGGAATCTCTCTGAAGAATGAAGTTAGTCTTTGAAATTTTGCAGCAAAAAAACTCGTCTTTCAAAAGCTTCTAAAACAGCAGCACAATTCCTTCTCGCTGGGACTCCAACCCATAGCAGGCTTGTGCAGGAGAAGCTTGGGACATTGGAGGGTGAACTGCAGGGTTTGAGGGTTTAAAACCTAGCAAGAGATGTTACAGCTATGTAGGACTAAGGTAGGTGTGTGGGACAAAAAGTAATGCCTGTGTCATTGGGTCAGTGTCTTGTGGTCACATGTAACCTAATAAATGATTTGAATCCAAAGGGACCCCAAGAACATTCACAGTGTTCCCCCATTTCTGGCTGTGTGATCACTTAAAAGCCATTATCCACCTTTAAAAAGGCTTGGAAGTGTTAAATATTTGAGTGAAAGAGATGAGGAGAAGGCAAGAAAATCTGAACATCTTGTGGCTTTCTTTTCTCTGGTTTGTTCTCTTTCAAAAAAAAAAAATATATATATATATATATATTTTTTTTTTGGTTGTGTGAGATCAAATAGTCTCAGGAATTTTGTTTTTCCCATTTGTGTAGTAAGCTTCTGCAAATAGTAGTTTATGCTTTCCAGATCTTCTCTATTTAACGCTCCCCTTACCAGTCAAATTTCCAACTCTGGTTTGTTACCCACAGATTTCCTGGTGCCAGAGCACAGTGTTGTGGGACAGGCGAGAAAGAGGGAGAGACTGATAAAAATCTGTACCTTGTAGCTTTTCCATGTTGGGGTTTTCTCAGGATAAACTGTTCTTATTCAGTATTCTTGAATTCAGCACCGTCATCTGTAGTGTCACTGGACTCAGAAAAGTACAGTGTGCTTTTGCAAACTCCATCTGCTGTAAGAAGAGGGTCTTTTTTGTAGGTTTAAATGATACCTTTAAAGCATTTCAGGATGTGGAACTGGAAGATGCCATGAGACATGGACAGTGTTGATGGACTGCATCCTTTCTCCCAGAGGGTAACATCAGAGTTGATTTGCTGATCTTCTGTACTCTAGGTCTTTCCAATGGTCCTGAAGCAATGGAAGTTGATGGTCTCCAGGAAGTTCCCCTCTGTAGCTGTCGAATGGAAACCCCCAAAAGCAGAGAGATCACCACGCTAGCCAACAACCAGTGCATGGCCACCGAGAGTGTGGATAATGAGGTAGGAACCTGTCTTTCAGCTTCTTGCAGACTTTTTTTCTTCCTGAGGACAAAGACATAAAGAAACAAAGCCATGCCAGGAGCATGCATTACATCACGCAGATGCTCTGCAACATGTTAGATTGGGAGCCCACTGGTGTGGGAATGGTGGGGCAAACACCTCCCTCCAGCACACTGCATGTGTCGCACACTCGGGTTAAAGCCACTCCAAAGTGAGTAGGTGCAGTCTGCAGGGCTGGCTGGAGAGGCACTGGGTGGATCTCCTGCTTGTCCTGACTTGTGTAGCTGGATCAACTGGATGTAACAGGCACGCTTCAGGCCAAGTGGGCTAAAATACATTAGCATGCATCAAAGTGAGAGAATCCAATCAGGGGAAGCTTGGAGCTGGTTCCCTTGACTACAAAGGAGCTGATGCAAACCTTTCCATAGCCAGCTCTTGAATTTCTGGAACTTGGCATGCCTTCCGCCAGCTCAGTCTCTTCTGGCCCTCCACTTTTCTCCTCCCCCCAAGAGGCTTCTGTTACAAAGCTTCCTATGTCCTGGCAGTCCTGTGCAGCCTCTGTGACTGGCTGGCTGGAAACATTGCACTCGATGCCTCTAAATTGATCACAGCTGGGCTAGTAGGGCTCTGCTGGTTCCGAGAAGGTGGAGTTAAGTGGCAAAAGTGACTTGCTCTCAGTATGGGAAGGAAGACTGCATGACAGAAGCAAACTGAGGAGATCCTCCTTACTCTGGAAGAAACTGACATTTCTTTGACTCTTCAGCTGAGCTGCAGCCATGCTGCAGTGCTCTCAGATTTACTGGTAGAAGGACAAGGAGTCAGAGTACTCCTGGTTCTTCTGGAGGCTCCCAGTAGAAGGGTGGATGGAGGGAGGAAGGGGTAATCACATTTACAGCCCTGCTCTACTTCTGTTAGTAGGTGCTGGTACCTATAGAGAGAGGAATTTCACTAGCATGACGAAGTTGATACATTAAGGAGAGAATGCCCTGGAAACTTACAGGAGAGAAGGTTCTCCAGGGTTTCTGGATAAACAAAACGTATACAGAAGAGTTTCTATGGTTGTCTGACAGTTCTCTCCCCAGATAAATCAGAAAAAGGAATAGCAAAGGCCATGCATTCTGTTAGATTCTTTTTGGTAATGAGATAAGTGATTCATAGATGTGGTAAGGATATTACATGTATGAATAGTGGGTTCTCTAGACTGTCATGTCCTTGGATAATGTTATAAACAGTTAGGAGCACTGTGCTACACTCTCTAATGGCTGGAAAATAGCAGTTAATCATTTTGTACTATTTTAGACTTTTCTAACAAATAATATGTTGTGACAGAATGATGCAGGGACTTCCTTACACAGACAGTGTAGCTTCTCACGCCTTAATCAAATTTCTTCCACTCATAAATAAAAATCAATGGACTGGTCCTTTCCTGCAGCCCCTGGGGTCTGTGTGCTAGCAGTGATCACTCTAGGCAAGATGTCACAATCACAGGTAGGATTTGCAGCTGGAATTTGGGTAAGCTGGGTCAGAGATGCTAAGGGAGAAAGCTCAGGTTAAAAACTGTTCTTTTTTTTTTTTTTCCTGTAGGTGTGTTGGTTGTAGGAGAAATGGAGTTTAAAATAAATCAGAGAGGGAGTTTAGTTTTGCTGAGAAAAAGCAGTGAATCAAACCTCAGCTAGAGCAGGAGGGGCAGCCTGCTAGTGATGAACAGACACTGTGTTCCTTACGGACTGCTCTGATCATGGAGGCAGAGTGCAGTACACCACGCTCAGATTCTGGTAGGGCTGTTTCCTCCTATGAACTTTCCATGTTTATGTTTCTATACTGGGAATGTCCTTTGCCAAACATTTGGGGAAAGCAATGTTTTCATCTGGAGGGACTTAGAGAACCCAAACGATGTTGCACCGCACTGGCAGGTGGCAACCAGGATGTGGAGAAGGCTCATAGGTGTGTGCACAAGGGTGGCAGAAGGAAGCCCCAGTCCTTCTGGCACAGCAGAGGGAGTGACACCGCTGGGAAAAGCCCTGCTCATGGAGCCTGCTGTTACTAACAGAACAAGGTGGTGTGAGAGAAGACAGCTCTTAAGCCCAAAATTATACACTGGTGAAATGTTTCAGAAAGCATGCTGAAAATCTGACTGGAGTTGAGCTCTCGTAAACGACTGGCTATTCATCCCTGTGGTCTGGGCAGAGGCCAGGGCTGGAACCAGTACAGACGATAACATAGCTGGCAATGAAGAGCAATTATTTTTCCCTTTATCTTCCTGTGACTTGTACTTTTGAACAGTAACAAGATTTAGTGCGTATGGTCTTGTTCTCTTGGTCACTGACACCCGCTCTTCCTGGCAAAAGCAGAGTGTGTTTTGTGAGTCAGGCCCCTGGGACTGCCCCCTCTGTGGCTGCTTGGCTGTTGCGTATTTCCAGTTATGATTTTTCTTGCAAGGAACAAATGACTCTGGTCCACATGCATGTTAGTTAGTAAATGATGCATTTCTTCCTGTGAGAGCAGCTTTCACAGCTTCCTGCTGCACTGCTAATGCTATCTGGCACACATCTGAATTACTGTGAAAAAGCCAGGGCTCATCAAGGCAGTGTGCAAAATCTTCCTCCGCACAAGCACAGAGAGTGTTTTGGTCTCCAGTAATTTCATTTCCTTTAATTTCTCCTGTTCCAGCTGGGCCGATGCACAAACAGTGTGGTTAAGTATGAACTGATGCGCCCGTCTAACAAAGTCCAGCTTTTGGTGCTGTGTGAGGACCATAGAGGGAGGATGGTGAAACACCAGTGTTGCCCTGGCTGTGGATACTTTTGCACTGCAGTAAGTCCGTGCTCTCAATCTAGGGAAGGGGGTACTTGTCACAGTAGCTGGAAGAGGTGAAGGTGGAGATTTACCCAAAGGGGTTTACTGACTTCCTGGCATAAGCTCCACCCTGTTCCACAGCACATCAGATGGTGTTTTCAACAGTAATGTGTGTGAGGGTAGCTGCAATGCTCACCTGTAACTTCCTGGAGACCTCAAGGGGTGATACCAAAGGGGTTGGAAGTCATACCTTTGGATTTTTTTTGGAACGTTGTTTGTTTTTTTTCTTCCACTGTACAGTCAATCACATCACAAATGGTGTTAGCCTGCTTCTTGAAAGAGTCTGCATACAGGAGAAGGGTTCTGTCCCCCCTGCCACTCACAGGGGTTTAGGTGGGGAACCTGAGTGATGGCACTGGAACAAGGCAGTGTTTGAGATCTCCTGCTCTTTCTTCCACCTCAGCCACTGAGATTTTAATAGCGTTGGCCCAGTGCTTTGAGCCATTGGTGTCCTTGTTTCCTTGCTGGTGAAACACTTGTTGAGGGCCTCCCGGGGTGATAGGATGGGTTAATTGTCTGATGTTAGTGTTCTTTAAGATGACTCAATGAAAGATGCTAGAGTAGTCTCAACGTTATTGTAATTGTAATAAATGGAACCGTCCTGAGTTTTCATGCTGAGTCAAAGATCATTTAAAAGATAAAATCCTCAAAACGCTTGAAGGCATTTCGCAATGCTGAAATAGTTAATTAAATTTCTTGGGAGGACTGCGAATCCAGGAGAAGAGTGGGTTTTAACTAACTTTTCCTTAATGCTGTTACATCTCTGAGTGACCTCATAGTTGATAAAGGTGAATCTGGCAGTGTTTGTCTGTGTTATCAGTCACTAATAACACAGAGCACGGTAGGGCTTCAGGTAGCACTGATGCACAGAACAGTGAGTTCTGGGGTGCAGTTCAGCTTGGAAGACTTTGCTGGAAAGAGAAGACAGTTTGTACAAAGGTGGCTCACATCTGTCAGCTAATGGGGTTAAACAGCATACAGGGCTGGTCCAAAGAGAGAAGTTGCATGCTTTGGGTTACATTGGGGTTGACAGCTGATGTAATTGTATTATTTATTCCTTGAATGGTTTGCGTGCAGATGTGTTTGGTAGCTTTAGTGCTGACTGGTTTGAAGTTTTCTTTTCCAGTATTGGGAGTGTCCTTACAGTACACTGGCACTTCTAGAAACGTAAGCAAGAACATCAAGTGTTAGAGCTGGAAAATGGGACTTTGTGGTTCTGTTTCCCACGTGCAATTAAAAAACTTGCTTTGCAGTTCCTAACCAAGTGAGTTTTTTCCCATTACCTTGGTTTTGTTCTCTTCTAAAGAAGTGGCAGTGCTTGCTTACTGTACTGGAAGCGCGAGGGACAGGAGTGGTCATGAATGAAGTATATAAGAGCTCTGCGGATGAAGCATGTGGAAGGGGTAAGGCACGTAGTGACCAAGGAATGAATGTCTTCTCTGATTTTTTTAGGGCACTTTCATGGAGTGTCAGCCTGAGAGCAGCATCTCCCACCGTTTCCACAAGAACTGTGCCTCCCAGGTCAACGACACGAGCTACTGCCCACACTGCGGGGAAGATGCCTCCAAGGCAAAGGAGGTGACAATAGCAAAAGCAGACACAACTTCCACGGTGTCGCTGACCTACGAGCAGCAGAAACCAGCAGCAGTGGAGGGAAGGGCTGACACCACGACAGGAAGGTGAGCTTGGAAGCACGTGGCAGTCTCAACCCTTGTGCCAAACCGTGCTTTGCATTTGAATGCTTGTGCTCCTGCTGGCAGAGCAAGGTGTTTTCTGGTCCTGCTCTGACAAGCCAAGCTCAGCTGCAGGTGTTTGCAGGCTTATTCTGTGCTACAGTGCCAGAGAGGAGCCCAGCAAACACAGGATGAGGTGGAACAACAGTTATGAAGATAAGAAGGATTTGGGGGTTAATACAGCTCCTTCCTCTTATTGTTAAGAATGAAACTGAGGCAGGGGAGGTTTAGGTTGGATATTAGGAGGAAGTTTTTCACACAGAGGGTGGTGACGCACTGGAATGGGTTGCCCAAGGAGGTTGTGGATCCCCCATCCTGGAGGCACTCAAGGCCAGGCTGGATGTGGCTCTGGGCAGCCTGGTCTGCTGGTTGGTGACCCTGCACAGAGCAGGGGGTTGGAACTGGATGAGCATTGTGGTCCTTTTCAACCCAGGCCATTCTATGAAATTCTATGAAATAATAGTGGAATGAGTTGACATTGCCATGTGTGGTGAATGAGAGGGAAATTCATGTGGAATACCTAGCCTGAGCTGCTTAGCTGCCCACAGCAGTGGGTGCAGATGCAGACAATCGAAACTTAGAGGAAAACATAAATGAAGACATCTCTGTGATGAACAGTACTTCAGCTTCCCATGTGATCTGATCTTGTTCTCAAGGCTTTTATGACTTGCAGTGAGCAGGGCAGTGCCCTCAGCCCCATGATCTTCTGTTGCCTGTTGCAAAGAGTACATCAAAATGTAGTCATAGGACAATGCAACTCCTTTTCAGGGCAAGTTCTTACCAAAAAGCCTGTGAAATATCTTGCTTTGTGTTTCAATTTTGCTTATGCTGTCTGTCAATTTAAAATTGATTTCCTTTCCTTCTTTGGCATAAGATGCACAGAGTGTTGTGTATTTTTAATGGTTGTGCTTTGGCTCTCTCTCATTTTCAGTGTCACTGGAACGCGGTTGTCTGAGGAAGACAAGCCAGAAAGTTCGGCTGCAGAGGGATTTGACTTAGCTGGATCTTCAGTTTTTCCAAAGCCTACTACTAGCCTGACCCAGGGACCAGTTAAAGAAACTCTGGAAAGTGCCCTGATTGCCCTGGACTCTGAAAAGTAAGGAAAAGGCGTCTGGGTCTCCCCAGTTCCCAGCAGAGCTGCTTAACCTAAGGAGAACTGAGATTTAGCTTCTGTTGATTTTGACTCCGCTCTGTTCTTGTGTACTCTTATTCACTTCAGTTACTTGTCAACTCGATGAAAGAAGTTAAAGCTCTAAATGTCATAGTGATTTGTCTGGAGGACTTAGCTTTTCCCTGGACTTCTAACTTCAACTATAACCACTAGGAATTCCTATTTGTAGCAGTAAGATCCAGAAATTTTTATTAGCAGCTCTGAGTAGGTATGGCTGTTGTTAGAACAAGGCTGACTGTGGCCAAAGCTGGAGGTTTGAATATCTCCTAAAGAGTTGATATTCTTTGGTTTTGCTGGCATTCTGGAGCTGTACCGTAGGAACAAACTTTCTCTTGCCTAATGTGTAGGTTGGGGTAAAAAATACTGGGGAGTGTTCTTCAGTGTGTATTAATTCTACCTCTTTCCCCATTGCTGCAGACCCAAGAAGTTACGGTTCCATCCAAAACAGTTGTACTTCTCCGCGAGGCAAGGAGAGCTGCAAAAAGTCCTGCTTATGTTGGGTAGGTGGCTCTTTCCCAGGACACGGTATGTCTGGCAGTACTCCCAGCTCCTGCCAGGCAGCTGCCAGAGCCCAGTTCCCAGCATGGCAGCACGTCATATTCCCCACTGCCCCTTGTGAGTGGTGTTGGGAGGAGAAAGCCACTTTTGCAAGTAATGTGTCATCAGAAATGGCTTAATCTTTCTGTGAAATGTGGACTTGCTCCCAGCTTGCTTCTGCATTTGGATGCAGTTTTATCCAGAGAAACTCTCTCTACCCCCAAATGACCTATGTTTGATTTTTCCAATCCAGTAGAACTTTTCCTCCCTGTGCAGTGGGATGGTTGGTTATTTGCATCCAGTGGAGAGGTAGAAAGATGAGAGTGTGATTAAATTAAGACCAGTCAGCAAGAAAGCGGAAAAGAAGAGAACTTCAGTACACAGGGCTTTATTCTGGGGGTACGTAACTGTCACCAGATGATTTTCAGCTGGTTGGGGTTGTTCTTACCAACAAATATTCCCAAGCAATATCTCCTTGTGAAGGACACAGTGTTTTACTTGGGATCATTTCCTTTCCACTCCAGTACTTCAAAGTACGTTTTTGGATGCTTTCTGTTCTTCTGCATTTATCACTCCTTTTTTTTTTTTTCTCCTAGCAAGTATTAGCTTCATTGTTCCTGTTTTCAATAGCACCAAAATGTTATTCATTGATATTTAACTACGGCCCCATCATATGCAACATGTTATCATGCCCAGACATCTTTGTCTGGCTGTCATCATCATCTGTCAGTCTTTGCACAGCTGTGAGGATTTCTGGCCAGATCCCGAGCTCGTGTTGGAGCTCCATCCTCTTTGCAGCCCTTTTGCTTACAGTGATGCAAAAAGGATCACTAATACTAAGTGCAGTTAATCATGGTCCTGAGACAATAAAGCTGGGTAGTGCTGACTTTCTGTTGTTTCCAACAGCAGCACTTTATTTTTTTCCTTTTTACCCTTGCACGGTGTTGATGGTATTTCTTGCAGTGAGAGCAGGGGAATGAAAGAAGTGGCTTTTGTAGGAATGGTAATGCCTTAGCAGTATTATATTCCACAGTGTTTCTGAAGCTCCTTGCTGGAGGGCTGTTGCATACAAGATGTCTGTGGGACTATTCTGAGAGCTTTCTGGCTTGCATGTGTAGTAAGAAGGGCTGAAGATGGGCCAGGGCAAAGTCTTTTAAAAGCTTTGGTTGAGAGCTCCTTCTCTTGTTACCCTTTTCTCTGATCTCTGAATTGTGGTTGAAGGCATCTCTGCTGTGTTTTTCAGTGGATGGAATTGACCCTAATTTTAAAATGGAGCATCAGAGTAAGAGAACCCCTCTGCATGCTGCTGCTGAGTCTGGCCATGTGGACATCTGCCATATGCTGATTCAGGTCTGTCTCTACTTAAATGTTTTTCTGTATGAGCAATTTTCTGTGTTTTTTGGTCTTGTGCCCCACAGAACTAAAGCACACTTGAAAAACCAGCATTGAAAAACCTCCTCGTTCACACTGTTTGCTGCAGGAGTGAGTGGTGCAGAGTGATGTGAAAACTTTGGTGATGTGACTGAAGATGTCTTTCTAGGCTGTTCTCCATACCAGCTTCACTGTCTGTGCAATGGGCACGTGGAGCTTTGATGTAGGGCACTGTAGTGCATGTGGGATGCTCTGTGCCTAAGCACACCCCGCAGTGTGGTGCACTGCCAGATGTGGCAGCACAGGCTGACCTGCAGGTAGCTGCAAGCTGCTGCCAATTTGCTCTTTGTAATGCTGGTAGGTAGGTTGTAAAGCCTGCAGGCCATCAGACCCTGCCTTGTTTTCTGTCAAAATCTGAGCAACTCCAACAGGGTTGTTCTTTACACTTGTGAAAAGAAGGAAGATGCAAGTTTCACTTGTTATGTGAAGTATAGAGATTTGGGCTCTGATAAGTTTGAATGAGGGAAGGTGGTGAAACACATAGCAGTGCTGCTGTTGAATCTTCTCCAGAACACTGTGAAGAAAAAAGAAGGCCTTTAAAGGGCTGTAGTTTTTTTGCATTGGCACCTTAGGCATCTGGTTGTGTTTTGCTTGCTCTTTGTGACTGGAAAACTCTAAAAGTCTTCTGAGAAAGTGGCAAAGCCACTCTTTGATAATGAGCCTGCTGAGATGTCTCAGCATTCAAAGTGCTGTTTGAAGGTGGAGCTTTGCTCACTTGAGTTATCACAAGTACAGACAGCGGAATGACTTGTATGAGTAAAAGGAGCAAAATTTGCAAGACACTACAAACAATTTGAGTTGATGATCGGAAGGGCTGGTTTGTTTCCAGAATCCTTTGTATTCTTGTCTGTCCCCTGATGTCTGGCTATTGCAGCAGCAGTGTGTTTGGCTGGGAATGTCCACAGCGTGTTAGACTTGAAGTGTCTCTTCTCTGGTCTGAACTGCTCTAGCTTTATAAAAGTGATCAAAACAAATACGTGCTGTAGGAGGCACATAGAAGCAGTGGGGCCATCTTCTTGTGCCAGGTGAACCTGAGTCAGCACGTTACTGTTGTGAGCAGGTCTTTGCTTTGTGCTTGGGTACATGCATGGTGTGCCAAGAGTTGTTCTATTTCTTAGATTTTCTTTTGGTTTTAAGTAGTGGGTGGATTATTGAGCTACATCAAAGCTGAAGAGGGCAGGATGCATGGGACAATAGAGATTTTGGTCCAGAGCACTCCATGTTGAACTTAATGTGTTCTCAGAGAAATATTGGCATTGACTTCAATAGAGTAGTTAACTGGTCTGTGATATTTCTGACACCTCCTTTCTCTGTTGTGATCAGCAGCTTGTTCCTACTGCCTGTGACATTGGGAAGCACTGCTTGTCTGTTCATTGTGTTTGTAGAGATGATAGACCAGGGAAGACCAAGCTTCTGGGAAATGAAGGCTGATTTTTTTTTCAGAATTGTTACCAGCTCTATGCATAGAGCATCAGTACCAAAGGCAGCAGTGACAAGAGCTGTTTCACACCTGTTTGCTTCCTTGTGCTCTAGTTGCTGGCTAGAGGACGCAAGCAGTGTGTGCTGCTTTCCAAAACAGGCGAAGTTTGTCTGCCTTCTGCCTCTGGTGGTTTTGCTTTTTTCTCAACATGGCTGAATTTCAGGAACATCTTGCTGCTAAACTTGCTACTAAATCTCTACTCCCACATCCTTCCTTTGCTAACTAGTAAAGGTTACAATTGTCCTTGTGTTTGCCTTGGCCTCCTTAACAGGCTGGTGCGAATATAGACAGCTGCTCTGAAGACCAGCGGACCCCACTGATGGAAGCAGCTGAAAACAACCACCTGGAAACTGTGAAATACCTTATCAAGGCTGGAGCACTAGTAGATCCTAAGGTAGCACTTTATTCATCTGTTTGCCATTTCTTTTTTAAAGGTTTTAAGCTCAGGAAGTAAGGAAATGAAGGTTTGTTCGTCTTAGGTGCAAAGACTTGGACAGACTGTCCTGGCTCTGTGCAGTCTGGGGAAGTGCAGCTGTTTACTACATCAATTCATGGCACCAAATATAGGGGGTGTTTGATTTGATATGGGGCCACCAAGAAGCATTGGTGTCATTGCGTTGCGTTTGGAGTTTGATTTCAGAGTTTCCTTCTCTACAGACTCTTAGTAATGAGAATTTCGGGGTGCCATTTTAAAATGGGTTGGTAATTAGGTGCTTGCAAAGCCAGCAGAAGAGACAGGAAGCTTTGATCTCCAAAGGTCTAATGTGTTGTTTCTTGCAATCACGCCGCAGTGGCAGAATTGGACCCAGTCTTTAAACTCCCTACCCCTTAATTTAAACAAATACAATAAAATGCAGCTGTCTGTTTGCCTTTAGCATGCTCGGGTTGCTTTGCAGTCTTGGAAAATATACAGATCGTTTATTAGCCCCATAAATCAGACTCTATTTGGAGTACAAGAACCCTCCCCATGTGAACTTCTTATTGTTACAACCTGCTGCTGTTGGCTCACTCCTCTGCTATTGCTAGGAAGTGCAGCAGGGCCAGGATTGTGATGCACACGTTTTGTGATGGAGCTGGCTAGGCTGGAAGGATTGCACAAGAGCTGCTGTCCACCCCAAGCCTTGGGTGACTCCTTGGGAGGCTGGGAAGAGGGAAAAGGCAGGGCAGGCACATGCAAGGACAGCAGCCACTATGAACTTGCATCTTGCAGCAATCCATATGTCACTCACCTTGTTTATTGATGTCGGAGAGGAGAGGTTTCCTGCTTCTGAAGGTAAAGGGAAGGAAAAACCCCTGAGCCAGCAAAAACAAATTAGAAGCCTGAGATCACGTCTGAAGTCTAGACTAGTTTATTATGTTAATTAGTTTCTTGCACCAAATTAGTCATCTTCTGAAAGTAGCAACATTGCAGTTTGAAATCAGCTCCAGCCATTTCGATGCAAAATCAGACAGTTATTTGCTGGGGGTGTGCACTGAGTGTGCCCAGGCTGTGGGGGGAGAGAGGGTGGGGATGGAGCCCCCAGGCTGAAGCCACACGATCCTGTCCATAGGATGTGCAAGCCACTCAAAACTGCCAAAAAGTCTGTATTAAAATACGCCAGCTCATTGTAGGATGGAGAAGCTGCACTTAGCTTATATTAATCTGAGAGGGAGGTGTGACATTATTCAGTTGTCAGGCTCTCAAGGGAGAGTGGGAAACTCTTCTTTGCGCCTAGGAAACCCTCAGTGCGATCCTTGATGTGGAGCTGCCCATCATTGCTCCCCATCCCTGTGCTGTGTCCTCTTTTCAAGGGAGTGTCCTCCATCAGAAAACTCTGTAGTAGGAAGAAAACATCTTGCTTTTCAGCCTTTCGTTTCCTCCTCCTTTCCTGGTCTCCATGCCTTGCTTTAAGCTGAACTTTTGGGATAGAAGCATCTGATAAAAATCAGACTCCAGCCAAGAGTTTTGGTGTTGGTGTGGGAGTGTCTCCGTCATGACTCACAGCCCCAGCCTGCCCATCGACCAGACTCTGCTCCTGAAAGCATTTTTTCTTTCATCCATTGCTGTTGTTCTGTTTCCCCAGGCTGGGTACATGACCGAGGGCACCCTAGGGTCTTGGTCCCTGCTGCCAGCTGCTGGGTTAAGCCTTGTGCTAATAAACACAGCAAAAAGCTGTATAAACAGACTATTTTAGGTTGAGGCAAGGCTACTTTTTGGATGTGAAGTGCAGTGCTGTGTCTCTGTAAGAGATTCCTGCTTCCTCTGGGCTCTTCAACACAGAGATTGTCTGCTGGGGAAGGGGAGCACCCAGGGGCTGGGGCTGTTACCTTCCCTGTGCTTATAAAAGTGTCTCTTCCCATAGCCTTTGCTCTCACCCTTCTACTCTGCACTGGCTGCATGTGTGAGCTTTCTGGAAAGCTGCCTCTGCTCTGTGCCAGTGCTGATTGCTGCTGCTTTTGGAGTTCTCTGCTCTGTCTGATGTTTCTTGTGATGACTTCCCTGATGTTCCTCAGCATCACTGGTGGTCTGCAGACATGGGGAATGTGGGGAAGGGACGTTTCCTGAGGATTTGTTCTGTGCTTGTGTCCAGGATGCGGAGGGCTCCACGTGTCTGCACTTGGCTGCCAAGAAGGGGCACTACGACGTTGTTCAGTATCTCCTGTCCATAGGGAAGATGGATGTCAACTGCCAGGTGAGGCCTATTTGCAAGGTGCAGAAGCTGCTCTTCTCTCATGAGGATATCCCCTTCTGGCCTGCTGCAGAAACCTCCTTGCTGACCTCAGGGGAACTTCCCTTCTGTGTGTCTCCATTTACAGTTTTCCCTTAACCCTGAATTTCCAAATGTGCTCCTTCTGGCAGAAGGGTGAGATATGCACATGCTGTGGGATAGGTCTAGCCCTATCCTAGCCCTATAGCCTAGCCCTGACCATCTCAGAGCTTAGCTGAACTTTTGCAAGTGCTTTTACAGAAGCTGTGCTTTTACAGAAGTGCTTTTACAGAATCTTTGTTGTTGACAGTCAGCTGGATTTGAACACCCTAGAGACCCATCTCCAGTTCTGCTTAGCTGCAAATAAACTCAAATCTGCTGGGGCAGATTGGTTTGGATCTTGCTGGGCTCTGCAGGACCGTGAGGGACTTTTCCCTGCAGCAGCATAGACTGAAGCACTGCGATGAGGCAGATGTGGGGGGGAAGGGGTTTGTGGCTCCCAGCAAGACACACCTGCCATGGCTTCCTAGGCTTGTGGAAGCCAGCAGGAGACCACTGTGCTTGTTCTACTTGTCTCATCCTTTTCTTTCCTTCCCCAGGACGACGGAGGCTGGACGCCGATGATCTGGGCCACTGAGTACAAGCATATCGAACTGGTGAAGCTACTGCTTGCAAAGGGGTCAGACATCAACATTCGAGACAATGTGAGGTTCTTCCTGGAATCTGTTTTAGAAACAATCCGCAATCTCTGTTTAGAAACCAGAAGAGCCCAAGAACACCAACTTTGGGCTCAATACAGGGAGGCACAGTGATCCCTATACACAAGTGACAGTGAGTGTTGGCTGCAAAAATGTTCTTCCCTACTCTAGAAGAAGATTCACAGGCAAGCAAGCAGTCCTCCTCCTCCCACGTGGACTCCCTGGGAGCTCAGTGGGCCCAGCAGCTCTGGGTGTCTTTCTGTGCCAGCTGAATTCACAGAGTTTTTCAAGTAAAAAGAGAAAATGAGAGGGAGGTGATGGGGGAGAAGAAGGGAAGCACATTCATGCTTCAGCTCAGGAGATTCAGTACCTCAGCAGTGCTCCTTTCTTCTTAATAAGAGTATTTCTCACTTTTTCCCCTTTGCTGTTGAAACCCCAGAAGTACCTGCAAGGGAAGCTTGGGTATGAAGAGCTACTCCAGGCTTGTAGGAGATGAGAGGTAGTTGTTATCATCTCATCTCATGCCCTAGGATACCTCATGACAATATATTTTCTTGTCCAGGGCTGCTAGTGCTTTTCTGAATCTGATGGATGTAAGCACTATTTCATATTTGTCTCCCTAAATGCCTCTTCTGGTGTCTGTTGGGTGCTGGCAGGGGTAGGTGCTGGCACATTTGTCTCATGGAACTCAGAGTGGCCCCATGTGTGAGTTGCCTTCCCCAGTTTGAAAGCCCTTTCTTAGTAGGAGCCTCCATTCCTTGATAACTTAAACAGTTCCCAGGCAGTTCTGGACCTGATACTCTTCATAAAAGCCAAAGTCAAGGTGGGAGGAGGGGGCTTTTGGGTTGTTGCATGACTTCAGAATTCTAGCACAGACTGCACTGACTCTTGTTTGAGCTGCCACAGAAGCCTTTGGCTGCCTGTTAAAAGTTCCCACGTTAAATGATGAAAATCAAATTGTCTCAGTCAACAATTCACGTGAAAGAAAAATGTCCCCTTAGCAGATGTATGTATCACGTATCTGTTACTGTACCTACAGCTCAGTGTCTCCTGATTGCAGCCATTAAGAAGTAATGTCATTTGTGCTAGGAAACATCATACTCCGTGAGAAACGCTTTTGATTGTAATTGTGCTGCTGTTAGGCAGTAGCCAGTGCTAAACAAAATAGCAAATCTAGGTGTCTGTAACGTGTCTGAGCAGCATGCAGCGTGCAATCAACAGGATTAATCTTTTATAGATCAGTACATGATGCTGGTGAGGTTTTTTCCTGGATTTTACCATTGTAGGAGGCAGAAGCCATGCACAAAGAGGTGTCTTCCCACTCCCTGGTGCGTGCTAGCAGCCTCCTCGTGTAAGAGAAGATCTAAGTTAGGTTGCAATGACTTTAAGATGTGCTTTATTTTTATTTAAAAAAAAAAGCTAGGTGATCATTACTGTCATTGCACTGGAACAGGTTGCCCAAGGAGGTTGTGATGCCCCATCCCTGCAGGCATTCAAGGCCAGGCTGGATGTGGCTCTGAGCAGCCTGGTCTGCTGGTTGGCAAGTGTGCGCATAGCAGGGGGTTGGAACTGGATGAGCATTGTGGTCCTTTTCAACCCAGGCCATTCTATGATTGCACTGTTGTATTGGGCATCTTTAGGGCTTGTCAAGGGGGGAGGACTCTAAAGCATGCTGCCAATTGCACTGTAACAGAAAACAGAGTATCATTGCTTAAAATATCCCCATCAAATAGATGAGTGTTCAGCTATTTCTAGTGCAGCTAGTGAGAGATGAGTACATACAGTATTTAAGAGATGCCCAAAGTCAGATTGATTGCTTTCCATGTAGTTCATGATTCTCTTTCTAGCACTTTCACATGTCCTACAGCCTGCGTTCTGTTCTTGCTTGGCAGAGACTTTTTCTCTTCGATTTTGTAGCTTGGGAGACATGCAAGTTTTGCTGTGTGTCTGGGCTGGGGAAGTTCAGCTTCTAGCCTTTTCCATTGTGCTTATTCATGTCTGTCACCTCTCTCGTGGATTGATCCAGATTGTTTTTGTGGCTCACAGATAGACAATTTGTGTGCAGAGGGAAGACAATGGAGCATTTTGATGCAGCCTCCCCAATTCTGTGTGTGGAGGCGGCTGGATTGAGAACTCCCTGCTCGGCTCTGTTGAGATTTCCCTGCCCACCCTGGGACTCCCAACCAGAATGAGCAGTGTAGGGGAGGAGAAGGAAGCTACGTGTTGAATGCCTCAGGTGTAGAGCTGAGGATGATGGAGTTCCTAAAGCAGTAGAGTTTTAATGCACTAAACAAGCCTCTGCTCTGTTTTTTTCCCCTCCAGGAGGAAAATATTTGTTTGCACTGGGCTGCTTTTTCTGGCTGTGTTGACATTGCAGAGATTCTGCTGGCTGCTAAGTGTGATTTACATGCGGTGAATATTCATGGAGATTCCCCCCTGCACATTGCAGCCAGGGAGAACCGCTACGAGTGTGTTGTGTAAGTACAGCTCCAGCCCTGCTGCTGCTCTCCCTTCCCCTGGTTGCTCCTTTCTGGCCGTGTGCTGGCTGGAAGCTTGGGACAGCTTTTGAAATTTGGCATTTAAGCACAGACCAAAATCGGGATGCAGGGCTTGCTTCTCTGTTGCCCTTGCTCCTAGGCTCAGTGGGTGTGAAATACTGCCTGCTGCCAGAGCTGGTGTAAAAAGGATCACAAAACAAGCTGTAGTCCTGGAGCTTTTTGTGGTGTGATAGGGTAACAAGACTTTTCTTTTGTTTAGTCACTGCTAGGAATAAAGTCAGCATGTGTCCTCACCAAAAGCTGGTGAGTATAAACAAGGGCCAAGTCCAATACAAATTTCTGGTTGGACTTAACCATTTCCAGCCTACCGTTCCCACCCCTTATCTTTCCCTCCCAGAAAGAGTTTCCAGCTTGCCTGAAGTTAGGCTGGTCACCAGCAAGGCACTTGTCGTGCCTGGAGCAAGGCAGGATTTGCCCAGAGCACCAGTCTGTGGCTTCTGGCAGCACCTTCCTGTAGAAGGATTCACTGAGCCATGCTTATAAAGAAAACTCAGGTGATTATTCACTGCTGCAGATGCTACACTGTCCCTTAAGGGCTGGCTGGAGAGTGTGATTCAACTCATTTTCCCCTTGTGCAGTTTCTCTTGGGGATGCTTATCCTTTCTTACTGTTTTGCAGTCTGTTTCTTTCCCGTGGCTCGGATGTTACTTTAAAGAACAAGGAGGGTGAGACTCCACTCCAGTGCTCCAGCCTTAACTCTCAGGTCTGGGTGGCTCTACAGATGAACAAAACACTCAGAGAATCATCGACTGAAAAGCCTGTCCAGATTGAGAAGGTAGTGAGCAGGTGAGAATCTGACTGACTTTGCTTGTGGGCCCTGAAATACAGCCCAGGCCAGGGCAAGGCAGGGAGCCTGGTTTGAGAAAGGACTGTAAGTATGTGCTGTGCTTTCTAAACTGGTGTGAAGGTCAGTTGGAGCTTAACAGGACTTAAAATCGCTGATTCAGTCCATGACTTGTAAATTCATCCTCCAAATGGAAATATTCACAAACACAAAGAAAAATCTGTAAGGTAGAGTGGAAAAAAATGAACTCTGTTCTAGTTTGAATTGCGTTCAACCTTTGAATGCTTGGTGATCAAAGACACTAACTCTACCCCAGGATGGTGTTTGAATGGCCCCTTGTTTGGGGAAGCTTTTCTGCTGTGACACTTCTTTTTCTGTCTCTTGACAGAGACATTGCCCGGGGCTATGAGAGGATCCCGATTCCCTGTGTCAATTCAGTGGACAGTGAGCCTTGTCCTAGCAACTACAAGTATGTCTCACAGAACTGTGTCACCTCCCCAATGGACATTGATAGAAACATCACCCATTTACAGGTGAGGGATTGTGTTTTTCCTGTTCTGCTGTGAGCATTTAGAGATGTTGCACTGCACCTCAGACCAAGTTTTGCATTCAGAATGGGAATGTCTCGTCTTAGTAGTGATTCAAGCCAAGGTTGTAGTCTGAAATTCCAGAAGAAGGGATTCTGCTGTTCTTCCTTTCCCAGACTTCACCTCACCTCTGCATTCAGCTGTTACTGCAGCAGCTGCCTGGTGCAGCTCCCATTTGTTTATCCATTTCCTCTGTTCTGGCTGTGAGAGTTGAGAGTTGTTTGGAGACCTTCCTCGTGCTGTCTTCCTAGCGACCTCAGAGCTTTCCTTGTCCTCAAGTGTGGAGCTCATAGGGCACAGAGGAAGGTTAGTAATGTGGGGAGAAGATGAAAGTGACTCATGACAGGATCCTCTTCTGCAAGCTGGACTCCTCTGACATTCATAATGCTTAGAATTGAATAACTGAGTAAACAATACACTGAACTGATGAGTCTGGTTATCTTTTTGGCTAATGAGCTGCAGCAGTGGCCTCTTTTGGGAAAGTTTGGAAGGCACTCCAGCAGCAGGCAGGAGAAAGTGAAGACTTGTGGTTTTGCTCGCTGGCCCACTTAGAAGTTGCTCTTTCACTTGTGCTGGAGTGGCTTGGAGCTGATCCCTTCTGCTTCTCTTTCAGTATTGCGTCTGTATAGACGACTGCTCCTCCAGTAACTGCATGTGTGGCCAACTCAGTATGCGCTGCTGGTATGATAAGGTGAGGATGCACAGCCTCGTGTTTGGTTGGCAAACTGAATATTGCAAAATTCAGGATGTCTAATAGGACCTAAAACCAATTCCTTGCACAGCTCCTCTGCTTTTTGTTTTAAAACGCCTGGAGTTGCAGTCTCAGCTTTGAGGTGTATGTGATAACAACAAAATGCGTACTCAGGGAAGCTTTTCCAGTGTTATTTGTTTGTGTTGCTGTCGTGCCAGCTGAGCCATTAATTATACCCATGTGATAGAGAGCATTTAATAACCCATGCGTGAAATCAGCTTCCATTTCAGAAAGACATAGAAAATGCTGTAATATATAAACAGGGGGAGGGTAGAAGAGAGATTTTTGCTTACCTCTATTTATCAGGATCCTTCTGGATGAATGCAAAGTAAATATGTTTTAACTTCATCACTGCCAGAAGCCTAGGTTTGTTCTGGGTAAGTGTACTTCAAACCTCCTGGGAGGTTTTGAGGTTAATATTTGGACAGGTTCTGCTAAAATCAGAAGTTCTCTTTATCTCTGTAAGTTTCTCCCAGGGGGAGTATTGGCATCTTTCTTTGCTTCGTAGGCATTTTATTTACACATTAATAGGTGATTACATCTTTAAAGCCATAAAAGCCAAATTTGTTTAGTGTGATGAACTGCCTCTATCACTTACTTAATCCTATATGGTTGGTAGATAATTGAATTGTAGCTTTTTGGGGAGAGTTATTTGGGAAGATAATGTGGTTTACAGAACTTGGGTGTGCTGGCCTTGTAATGTGAAAGTTTAGGCTTTATTCCAGAGATAGACAAAGCATATGCTTCTCCCCTCCAGCACTACGAAAAGATGATAATGATGATGCACACCATTTTTTGCACAGCACTGTGAGATACTTTTGATGATGGTGTGTAGGGTGATGCCAGGCAGCAAAAGCCAGAATGGTTTCTTGCTGTTTGTCAGCTGTTTGTGATAATGGCTTGTGTGCTGCTGTTAGGGCAGAACGAAGCCTGTGCAGAAGTTGAGTTCTGAGGTTGTTTTTGGGGAGGTCAGGGCATGCCTCTGCAATAGGGGTCTTCTCACCCGTTTTGCATTTGGGAAAGTTCACAAGAAGAGAAAACTAACCCTGTCTTGAATGCATCTCCTCTTCAGGACGGCCGACTCCTGCCTGAATTCAACATGGCTGAGCCCCCACTGATCTTTGAGTGCAATCATGCCTGCTCCTGCTGGCGGACCTGTAGGAACCGGGTGGTGCAGAATGGGCTCAGGTGAGAACCCACACACAGCTTGTTGTGGGACAACCGTGGCCAAACCACATAGCCTCGGCTCTGCCTGCAGACCCACAAAGTGCAGAACTTGCAGAGATGAAGCAGAGCTGGGCAGGTGCCACCACACAGCAGTGAGAGCCAGGGGGGTTCCTTTGTATGCTGCAGGTGAGGATCAACAGCAGTGGGCAGTGAGCTCAGCTGGGATCTGTGCCATGCTGCTGACCCCAGCACATGGGGGAACTGTGCTGGTCTTTCTCAGCTGGACCACCAAGTGTACAAAAGGGTGTTGGGTTTGCACGGGCAGCCTTGGGTGTAACTTGACAGGAAGAGAGCTCTGAGAGACATAAGAGCGAGAAAAAATGCAGAGCCTCAGTTTAGAAGCCATCATAAGATAGCAGTTGATGTTAGAAATACAGGCTGGCAGGCAAAGAATTGATTGCTTGAAGTTTCCTACTTATTGGCCTGACTCTCTCTGAGTTGGATACCTGTTGGCTTCAGAGGTGTTGCTGATTAGGCTCTGTTCCTTTTGGTGTCAGACAGTAATGAAAATGTTTTGTATTGCACCTCTGCTTCGGAGAAGTTTGCCAGTGCACTGAATGCATCAGGACTAACTTCTAAGGAATCCTGGAAAAAAAGGCTTTTGCAAATCTTTTATGGTACTGACAACACTTTTTTCTTTTTGGTGGGCTGTATGTCTCCAAGGACATTTTGGAACTTCAAAAATAAGAAAAGGGCTGGATGTGTTTCCACAGAACTTCACCCCTGTAGTTTTTTCCCACCCAAACTGACAGCTTTGGTATTTGTATGAGTGCTTATTCAGGATCCATGTAGTTAGATCTGATGCTTCTGCATTTTTGTCAGCTCAGGTGTTCTCTTAGTGTCTTGTTTAGCTCTGGTTCAGGCTCCCAGAGCTGTGAATAAATGGGAGTAAACCGTCAGCCCTGGAGAGGAAGCGTGGTTTGTGCTGATGGTGCAAAGAGGGAATGGGTGGGGGGGGGAAGAGGAGAGAAATACTGGAAAAACCAACAGGGTGAAGTTAAGGTGAGCATCAGATTTCTCTTTATTCCGATAACAGCATTGCTGAGAGGGGGGGTTGCTTCCCATGGGGAAAGAGAGAACATTCCCTAGCCCTGGAGGTGGTTCATCCTGCACTTAACTCAAGTTCTGGCTGAGCAGGAGACAGAATGACTTACGGGATTGTTTCTCTGCCTATAAACTCCATCAGTAAAATTCCACAGAGCAGCTATTACACCAAGAAGTTTCAAGTTGCAGCGTTTCTTCCTTATGTTTCCGCCAGGGATTTGGATATGATGGAGCTGCTAAATTCACTGGCCTCAGCAGAGGTCAAAGGGATCAGAGCACTTAGTTCAAGGTGTTCTTAATTCAGTGTAAGCTCCCTGCCTCCTCCAGCAGCATCACTCCCTTTGGAGCCTGAAGTCCCTTCCCACCTTCCCCTGAGAGCTGGGCACGTGCGTGAAAGAGAAAGAAATGTTGGAGGTGGGATTTTGGTATCCAATGTGTGAATCATCAGCTGTGCATCAGCATGGAGCATCTGCTGCCATGCCCTCTTCCCCAGTCCTTAATGCGTGCAAGGCACCAAGCGTGCACCTCACCAGCTGCAGCTGGGCAGGGAGAGGCAGTGCCATCCTGCACTGGGGTACATGTATAGTGGCAGCAGACTGAGAACAGAGGGGTGGAACACAGAAATAATCTCTTTGAGTTTGTGCTGATTGGAGGTTGCAGGGTTGTTTTGTTGTTTTTTTTTTTTTTACTCTTTCCCCTGCTGCCTTTCTGCTCAGTGCTGCTATTGATGTGGCTTCATTTCCTCTTTTTTCAGGACTCGATTGCAGCTCTATCGGACGCAAAAGATGGGCTGGGGTGTGCGAACGATGCAAGACATTCCACTGGGAACCTTTGTGTGCGAGTAAGTTATTCCTTCAGCTTTCATTAGCTCACACAAATGCATCACTTCCCAAGGGCTGGCATGCTTAGCACATGATTTCATGCAAATCAAATTGGCGCAGAGCAGAGCTGCTCACCTCACTGCGAGGCTTCCTGATCCCATTTCCTGCTCTGTTTGTCCTTTCCTCGCAGCATGGAGCTTTCTCCACCCCTCTCCATCTCACTGCAATCTGTGGTCAGCTTGTGGTTCTGGGCTCTGCTACTCCTGTGACACATGAGCAGTGAGGAATGAAACAGATCTGGGTTGTGCTGCAAGTGCATCATGTGTTCACCGTGTACAAGACCTTTAAGGCTGAGGGAATTTGGAACAACTGTTTCATATAGAGTTGTTTTCTGCTTCAAGACTGGCTTCCCAAGAGGTTTCTCAGTGTCACAGCTCTGCCTTTAGTCTGATTCATCAAAACAGTAAAACATTTGGCATTAAGCACAAATTTAGGCCCTGGTTCAATAAAGTACTTAGGAACGAAAATATTAAGATTTATATCAGGTTGAAAAAACTGCTGCGAAACCGCACGGTTTTAAGGCTTTAAAGTGGTTGATGTTGTTCAGTAAACAGTTTGGAAAGTGTTTTCTTCATTGTGGTACTAATGAGCTAAGATGTTTGAAATAAGACAGGACTCTTGCCCTTCATGAAAGTACATGCTGGGGTTTTATAGAGCGGATTATTGATGTTGTATGGAGTCAGGCAGCAGGAGACTGGTGTAGCATATTGCAGTATTTAAACAAAGAAAGGAAAATAAAAAATGTTTCATCCAGGCAGAGTCATGGGGGAATGTCTCAAGTGTGTCCTCAGGTGGGACTTCCTGATGGGTCCTGAAGGTCGCTGTGTCCTGGTTAAGTGCTTAGTGATGATCCTGAGCCTGTGAGCAAACTGCTCCTAAAGAAAACAGCACCAGCTTTACCATGTCCTGCTGAAATGTAAACACAAGAGAGGGATAAGTGGTGATAAACTGGCAGCCCAGGGAGACTGGGCAGCTCTGTGCAGTGGGTGACTAGCACAGATGGGTGTGTTGGAGAGTCAGAGCTGATGAGGTTCAGATGCCATAGCTGCCCTTAACTCTTCCTCCACGCATGCCAGGAGCTGCTGAGGCTGTTTCAGTGGTAGGCACTGTCTTCATTATCTAAATGAGCTGCATACTAAGCAGCTGAATTAATTTTTGCCTTGCCCATGCAGGTTCCTCCTTGTCCCCATCCTTCTCACTCACACACTCATGTGATTTGCTCAGCTTACCAATCCCAGCCTTTCTTTTCTTCAAGCCAGCTGTGCTATTTCTCTGTAATACTGCATGTGCAGCCTTTGTTCCTTCTTTTCCTCACCTCTGGCAAAGAAGCCCTGGTGCTGTGGGGCTTGAGGCTGCTTACACACAGCAGCTCCCAGGATCAGCACTTGGAGAAGAGTGTATTGCATTGACCACGCAGAGCAGTGCCCTGACCAGGCAGTCCCTTTGTGCTGGGGTTATTCCTCTGCTTTGAAAGGATGATAATTGTGTTGGTCTAAGGATGGTACTGTTGTGGGTATGGGCTTTGAATAAGTTGGAGGCAGAAACCAGAGGTTTTGTGATGCTTTGGTCTGTTCCTTTTGGTATGAGCCCATTATGTGGCTTCCAGATATTTAATTCCTGTACAAAACAGCTCTACTAGGATACCATCTGAACCAAGACAGATATTTCAGCCACCCCTTCAGCCAGAGACATCTTGGGCATCCCACACCCCATGGAAACAGCCACAGCCCCGTGCTAGGGATGTATCATTGCTCTTGGCTTTTGTATGGAATATGTTCTGATCTCACAGTGACGAGTAGCAACGTGAAGTTACTGCCTCCAGTGTGCTAAACATCTTGCTGGGAAGAAGGACATTGCCTTAACTTCAGGCCTTCCATGAAGGATGCTCTGACTCTTCCTGGAGTAGGAAGTTGTGCTCATTGTGCATCTTTCTTTCGACCTGGTAAATTATGGAAAAGTTTGTATTGGTAAGCAGTACTGAAAAGGAAAGGAGTTGCAGGAATGGTCTTTAAAGGAACATGGAAACAACAATTTTTAATTAGACCGTGGGATTTTTTGTTCCACTAAATGGTAACCCTGAAGTGGTGCTCACTGAGCAGTGCCTCTCTGTGTAGCATTATTCAGCTATTTCCAAGCTGCTGCTGGCTACTGTGCCACGCTACAGCAATTTCTCTCCCTCTGGCCACAATCTTCCTATTGCTTTAGGTCACCAGTGAGCATGTGGTTTCCAGTAATGCTGCAGCCTTGTGGGAGCTCTTAATAAATAACAAGATGCAGTGGGGGTGAACAGCAGCATCGCACACGGCCACAGCAGCCTCCTGGCCTGGCAGAGCAGCTCTGCCAGATTGCTTAGATTTGGGAACTGCAGCCAAATGATCTCTGGTCACAGAGTGCGTGGGTCTGCTCCAGGTTAATGTTTCGTGGCTCTCCTTCCTGAGCCCTGAAGTTAAATGCTGCCTCGAGCCAAAAAGGGATGTGGATACGGTTGGTTAATGCTTCTAAAATGCTTCTGAAAGCTGAAGGGGAATTGCTGGTGTAGTGGCTGCAGATCGTGGGAGCATCTGTTGGTGTTATGAAGGATATTTGTTTTGTGAGTCCTTTGCTTATAATTCATTAATGCTGTGTCAAAGGCTTTGGAGAGTTGGGTACCAGAATCTACTGTGCTACAGCTTCTTTCTTATGCTCCTCCCTCTGGCTCAATTCATCTCCTCTTGCATGTCTTTGTTTTGATTGCAGGCTGCTCAGTTCAGGAAGTGTTGTAGGTTGACAGCCTAGAACCGTGTAAGCTGGAGAGAGGAGGCAGATGTGAGAATGCAGGTGCAGCAGAAACTGAAACTCCTGTAACTTGAGTTTTTGCATCAAACCCAACATCTCTCTGGAGCGTCAGAAGTGGTGCCTGTGTTTGGTCCTGCTCAGCAAGCCAAACCACACAGCACACATTCAGTGGTACTTGGGAGGGCCTGATTGCAATCTGCCTTGCACCTGTTTTTACAGCAGTGTGATTGTTACTCAGACCACAGCTCTGATATAGTCTGGTTTGAGGAGGATGAGGAAGAAGCCTACATCCTTTCAGGCATTCTGCCAGGTTTGAGTAGACCTGAGACTTTTAAAACAGGACTTTTTCAGGTGTGCAGCGTGTGTAATCAGTTAAAATGTAGGAAGAATGGGAAACAAACATTTTACACTGGAATGTAAACAGCACAGACATGACAGTGCTGTACAGGAGGTGAGTCCAACGGTGAACATAAGGAGAGTTGGATTAATGTATTGATCTTGGCCAACAAAGAGGATTGCAAAAGGAAAGAGTGAATTTTGTTGGAAATAAAACTCCATTTTTAATATTAAAAATGTTGCCCTGAAAAGACTGAGCTTGGAGCCAGATTTTAGCAGCTCTGAGTTGACAAATCTGTGTTTGCCTGGCCGGATCTGAAATGACCTGCACTGCTGAGGCTATGGATTTTGATGGTGGCTGCATCCCTTCCTTCCCCTTTTTGGAAGGGGGTGTTAAACCCAAGCTGGTGGTTGCACGAGCATCTTATTTCTGCCTTTCCTGTTTGCCTGCAGGTATGTTGGTGAGCTGATATCTGACTCTGAGGCAGACGTCCGTGAAGAGGACTCCTACCTTTTCGACCTTGACAACAAGGTACAGTATCGAGGGAGGTGAACCCAAGGTCTTGTTTCTCCAAAGGAGCACAGAGAGTATTTGTCTCTATCTTGATGTACAGCGTGCTCTGAAAGCTTGGAAGCAGAGCTGCTTTCTCACTGGGTTTTGTTAGAAACATAAGGTTGTGGAGATGAGACTTTAGGGCTTGTTAGAATGGTAACAGAGCCCAGCAGTGCTGGGCCACAGCGTAACGAGCTGCCCACAGCAGCAAGGAGCTTCCCTATTAAAAATGCTCAAACATCCTGAGTTCAGTTGTTCAGCTGTTGATATTCAGGTGTGTATACAGCAGTGTGCAGGCTTGTGGTGGTTGATTGGCAGCTCTGTAAGCTCTTCATAAAAAGATGTTGATGCATGAGCTGGAAAGCTGTAAGACACTGCTCCCTTACAAAGGGATCCAACAGACACCCTAGCAGGGACTTGAGGCTTCTGCTGCTGCTGGTTGTCCTGCGCTGCTCTGCAGAGGGCTGTCTCAGTGCAGAAGTCTTGCTTTGAAAAGTGTGATCTGAAGCATCTGAGTGTCACTTCAGACTTTCCTTGGGAAGGGAGAAGAGGAGAAAGGTGAGCTGGGGAATCAGAGCAGTGGGACGGCTTCCAAGGGAAGTTGTAAAGCCATCTTTATCTTGTGCCTGCCATCCGCTAGTCACAAAGAAGTTTTGCTTTGTTATTATAATTTTTCTTTTTAAGTGAGAGACATTAAATTTGAAAAAAGATAAGCAGTGAGTCTTGTAGCAAGTCTGAAAACAGGGGTCAGACTGTAACTAGGGGTTAAAGAGCAGCAGGGACTTCAAACTGACTTCTGCATTTATGAACAAGAGACTGCCCGGGTCTTGCTTGGCCTTCAGGTTAACCCCTGGCTGGCTGCTTTCAGGTAGAACATCTGGATTTTGTACAGGAACAAGCACACAGTCTTTCATCAGTGCACCTTCAGAGTGGAGCATCTGCAGAACAGGCAGTGAGTTGCTGAGGGGTCATTCAGAGAAACCCAAGGCAGTGCTGAGGGCAGGCAGAGCCCAGTGGATCCCCTCACATTCCCAGCAGTGGGAAAAGATAATGGGTGAAGAGCATTAGGGCTCTCCTGTGTCCTGAAGGAGTGGCCTGGATGGGGTTCGTGCTGAAGCATGTTGGGGAAGTCATTTCTAATGTCTTTGTTCCTTGAGCTGTCACTGGGGGCCATGTGTGTGGTGAATCACTCAGTGTGCCAGGCCTTGCAGTCACATCCCTTCCTGTGTCTGAAAGAGGGCAAACATCGAGCAGGCAGAACTCACTGCCTGTTCTGGGTTTTCAGGAAAGAATACATAGCACAATAGATACTTTCTGGGTTTCTACAGGTTAAAGGGATCATTTTCTTGTCTCTGTACTAGAGAGCCAGAAAAAACACACTATTTCTGATAGATATGAGGGTGAGTTTCATCTGGTGTGGTTGCTTTCTATTGGTGTTAAGCTCCCCATCCCACCTGTGGTCCTAAGCCTGACTGGGAACCCTTGGCATCGCAGCTGCTGAGCATTGAAAGCCATTTGAAATAAAATGTTCTTCATAGAATCATTAACATTGGCAAAGACCTTTATGATCCTTAATCCAACGCTCAGCTCATCACCACCATGCCCACCAAAACACATCCCTAAGTACCAGATCCTAAGGTCCTTTTTAAGCACTGAAGATCTTAGGTGTAAGAAGTGGTGCAGATATCTGCAGAGTCCACCTGTGTGCTCCTAAGGGGGAGCCTCCTTTTACTCTATTCTGCTCTTCCTCTCTGTTTGCCTCTGACATTCCTGAAACTCTTGCAGCAAGGTGAGAAGCACTTTGCTCTGGGACTTGTCCTCCTTGGCAGTGAGAATGCTGCCTTCATTCCTCTCCTTTCTCAAGAAATGCATCTTGGCTTATATGGTGAAGAGCTCAGATCTTCCCAGATGGTCACTCGGGGGGAAGTTGCTGATGCTGTCCTTACAGAAGGTGGCATTTCCACAGATGAAGAAGTGATGAGACTTAAATGTAATTGAAATCAGAGCTTGCAGCACTCTGTGTGGCATGGTGTTGTGTGGGTGATGCCCCTCAATCACTGGGACATCTTCCCTGGGCTCCTGCACCAGCTGGGCAGTGTGATCTGACCCAGCTCATCCATTAAAGATTGCAAGGTGCTTGCCCAAAAGGGAGTTTGAGCACTGCTAATGGATCCTTTTGCTTTTGGCCTCTTTGCAACAGAAATTAGCTCCTGTAATTAAAGTCTCTGCTTTGCACAGTCATTCTGTACTGGAATAAAAAAGCCCTGAGGGGGGTTCTTTTATTTTCAAGGAAAACAAAGTATGACTGCTGTCTGGGCTCTCTGGAAAGGGAATTTCTGTGTTCTCACTTTCACTTTTATCTGCAAAAAACCTGTTTTCTCTAGGCTCTGGCTTAGTGTTTCCTGGCTGTCATGTTCAATTAGAGGACAGAACAGATGCCTGTTCCCCTGTCCAGTGGCTTTTACCCATGAGGTGTTGCTCTGCCCAGAACATAAATCCCACTGCACCAAGCCAGTGCTTCAGCAGAGCAGATCTGGGGAGAGCTGTTGTGCCAGGCAATGTCAAGAGCATTTTTGAAAGGTCTTTGGGCTCATGGGGGCAGAGTGTTCCACAGGAAACTATTTTTGGGGCTGTGTTGAATGTAGAAGTATGTGTTTAGTCCTTTTAAGCCTTCCCTGGCCATTCTTCTTTTTGAGGATCTCCAGAGTGGTAGCACAAGGACTGGTAGTTCGCTCATTGCCTTTAAAAAAAAAAAAAAAAAAGTAGCAGTAATAACTCTAAAACCAATCTCATCTAATGAAACATGCAACATTTCTCCCTCTAGGATGGAGAGGTGTACTGCATAGATGCCCGTTTCTATGGCAACATCAGCCGCTTTATAAACCACCTCTGTGAGCCAAACCTCATTCCCGTGCGAGTCTTCATGTCTCACCAGGACCTCCGCTTTCCCAGGATCGCCTTCTTCAGCACGAGGCACATAGAGGCTGGAGAAGAAATTGGGTAGGTACCGAGCTGGGCTGGCTGCCTGCACCTTGCCTGGGCAGGACTGAGTGCTGCCAACCTTCACGTGCCCTGTCCTGCGTTCTGAGCAGTGGGGTTTTCCTCCAGAGCGCAGTGATTGATGTCATTGATTTTGTACTTTCCTGCTTCTTCTTCTTTCGTTTGGTGACGTCTATAACTCAGCCTCCCTTTTCCCCTAAACTTTTTCTTTTGGGGGCTTGTTGTGGATAGCCACCGAAGCAGCCAGAAATTGGGAAATGACAAAAAAAATTAACCCCAAAACAACAAAATCCCATGAACCCAAAAGCCAGTAAGCAGTGACAGAGGCTGTTCAGCACAGCCCCCATCTCCACTGTGAGCACTGGGAGGTGTGAGACCTCCCAACTATGAAGCAGAAAGCCCCATCTGTGCCCCTGGCGCATGGTGGGGCTGTGCCAGACCCTTCTACCATCTCCTGTTCTCCATGCATGGGAAAATGGTTGTGTCAGATTAACACTGGTAGACCAGGACTTGTCCAAAGCACATACTTCAAGTTGATGCTCAGGATTTGGGATTCATGTTTTGAGTTCTTCCCCGGTAGACCAGTGCCAGGTGGCCCCATGTCAGGATGCTGGTTTGGGGCAGCCTTTGGGGTTCAGGGTGCCAGGAAGAGCTTAGTGGCAGCAGCAGCTCCGTCCCCTGGTGCCTGCTTGGCTGACTGGGGTCAGCTCAGCTGGGGGCTCTGCTCCCCTCTATGGTTTTCTGGTCCTCTCTGGATTTTTTTTTGCAAGCTCGTTGTGCTCAGCTTTGTGCTGGGAGCAGATCCTGGGTGGCTTTATCCAGCAGTGGACTGAAACAGAAAACAAAAGTCAATGCATTTGGTGCACAGTAGACTTTTAAGTGCAGAAGTCGTTCAGCAAGCTGGAGGCTTAAGTGCTGTAAGCACCTGAATTGTCACCTCTCAAACCCCTTCCTCTGCAGAGAGACAAGAGCTCTCTGCCCCCAGATTGGCTGTGTCCCATTGCTTGCCAAGCCATGTCCCCAGCATACCCCATGTGCTGATGCTGCATTGCCTCAGGTGCTGCCAACCTCAGCTTCTCTCTCCCAAGTGTTCCTTCATCATGGTGACCCCGTTTCCATTTCTTTCTTGCAGCTTTGACTACGGTGACAGGTTCTGGGACATCAAAGGCAAATTCTTCAGCTGTCAGTGCGGTTCACCCAAGTGCAAACACTCGAGCTCAGCGCTGGCCCAGAGGCAGGCGAGCACCTCATCCCAGGACACGCAGGAAAATGGGCTCCCCGACACCAGCTCTGCCACAGCAGCCGGCCCCTTTTGAGGCTCCGCTCCTCAGAGACTGACTCGTTTTAACCCTATAGATTCACATACTGTCTGAATTTTCCATTTAAAGAGAGAAAACCCGCTCGAGGAAAGCCAGGGCTTCGTGACACTTAGGGCTGTGCCGCCGACTGTTACTTCAGGAATAAGTGAAAGCAAATCTCACCTCTGTGGTGTTGTTCTCCCCTCCTGGTCCTGGAAAGCTGCTGGTTCTTACCGTGCCGAGGGGTGGCTGTTGCATTTTTTTTTTTCCCATGCCAGCTGTCCTGGCCTCCGTCTCTTAATGTTCTTAAGTGTTGTCAGAGCCCAGGGAGAGCCGCCCGTCCTCTGAACGTTGTTAATTGAATGGATCGCTCATGCCAAGTCATCTCCAGTTCACTTGTAATAAACTTTGAGTACTTGATGGGACTTTCTTTCTCAAGGCCGGGGGGAGCAGGGCAGGAGGGAGGCGCTGGCCAGGCTCTGCTGGTTGGTTTCATTGCTCAGTTTGGTTGAATTCCTCCCACATCTCGCAGGACGTTGCGGTGGGGCCTCTCATAGAATCGTTTGAGTTGGAAGGGACCCTGAAGGTCATCTGCTCCAACTCCTGCTTGCCCTACGCATTTCTAACCGATGCCTCCTCGTTACCCATTGGCTTCTTACTCTTCCGATGACAAGAACTCCACCATGCTTAACCCCTTTGGTCCCTGAGCCAGCCAGAGACGCTTCCCTAAACCCCTCTCTGAAGCCCTCCAGCTCCAACCAGCTCCCGGCCACGCGGCGGATCCAGCATTTGCTTCATCAATGGAAGGATCTCCCTCTCCTGCGGCGGTTGTAGAGAGGGAACGTTGAAGGGGATTGTGTGAGACACTAACTGCTAAAGGAAATCACTTTTTTTTAATGAGAACACGGATGAGAGAGACGTTGCAGAGACCCCCTGGGCGAGCAGCAGAGGGGCCGTGTTGCAGAGAAGCCCCCGATGCCACCAGCTCGTCTGCTCCCATCAAAGTGCTCAACTCCGGGCACCTTTGGTTCGTTTTTAAGCCACACGCTATGAGGTTTCAAGAAACTGATTTATTTTTTACCATTATCGAAACATTGGGGAGTAGCATTAAAAAAAAAAAAAAAAAAAAA